ATATGTCCAGCATTATTTAGTTTCTTTTCATCTGGCACATGAAATTAGTGGTTTTTTATGTTAATGGGGGGGGGCTTGGTCTTTTTGGCTTTGTACAGATCGTTCGTTTCCCATTCATACTTACTTTATTTGTATTTCGTCCCAAAATATTGAAAAAATATTTTTAAATTTAAATAAAACTTTTACGCAATTTCTATTTTTTAATTATAGGCAAAGTATATTCACATTAAATTTAAACCACAGGAAATAATTTATAAAATCACAATACTAGCTTGGGGAGCAAGTGTGTTGATGTCAGAGAAAAATATTTGGAAAAGAAAGACCTTTTTACTTGCCAAGTGCATGTATTGTTTAGTAATAAAATAACGCTGTGATTTCAAAGCCCTTTATCTATATCCGGGTAAAAATAAACATTACTATTTGAAAAGCAAGCGAACACCATTCAGAAGCAAACGCCAGTGGTTTCAAGGCGCGACCACCGAGCCTGTAGAGGATTGTAAGCAGTGTGACACAATGCTCTAGTGGTGTAGTGGTCGTGCCCTGAAACCACATAGCAAATGCCATACATATAGAGGGTTTTTTTAATATATGCAGTTTAATTACTGCAATTTTTTATTGTTTATGATAGAAATCATGATGTGCGATAACTAACTTTTGAAATTTAAAGTTGTTTATATTAATAAAAGGAAGTTGTTTTGTCTCATCGAAAAAAATTTTTAAAAGGTGTCCGATCTGAAGTATTAATACCTAAAACATATATGAATCTACAGTCATTTTGTGTTATTTAGAGGTAAAAGATCAATAATCAATTCATTTTCACTCAAAAATTTCGGAAAAAGAGGAGGAAAAAAATTTGAATAGTGGTTTCAAAGCGCGACCACCGCGCGTCAAAGGATTAAGTTAAAATAGGTCGATGTGTTGCATCTGGAAAGTATTTTGTGCAAGACTTTGACTTCTTGTTTTGGTTTTGTGTAGCGGGCGGAAAGATCAGCATCATTTTGAAATTGGTGCCGATCCTGGTGTCAAAAAAGAAATGATTCGTCAAGGGGTACCGTAGAGTAAATTTTAACCAAAAAATGTTGAGTAAAAAAAAAAGCCTTTACTTCGTCAAAACAAAATGGCATCCAAAAAAAACTAGCAGGGTTGCTGTAGCAGGGTTGGTCACCAAAGTTTCGCCAAGCTACCATAATCCGAAGATTTACCAGCATTTTTTTTTTACTCAACATTTTTTCCAACAATCTGCTAGCCGAATTATGATTATACTAGAACTTTTATGGAACAAAAGTGCTTGATCATGACGAAGATTAGGTGCAAAATTGTTTCTAAGTGTTTATTAGCTAAAATCCCAATCAGAATTTTCTGGAAAGTCCATCTTCACCAGATTTCTTGCACCATCATTCAAACTTATCTGTAATAATCTTCTTTCACACAATCTGATTACATCCCCACATGTTGGATATTCATACTTATCTGCAATTAATCCTATACTCATACACCATTCCAGCAACTCTTTTGGATGATCACATAAATGCAATAAAAATTTGGAATTTAGAGGGAACCATGGGATCCAAATACTAACCACTTGCGCTACGTCTAAACTTCAAGGTTGTGGAGACGTGCGCTACGATATAACAAGTGGTTAAGTGTCTAATTTACACCGCTCCGCGTCTGCAAGTGCAATCCAGAGCTGTAACTTGAGAAATAATCTCGTCGTTAGGCGACGTGTGCACCACGTTATTTTCATTTTTGCGATAAGTGCCCATCGAAGTGGTGTTCATGTCGCTCACGGTTTGAGACAAAAGCATCTCGACGTGCGTGGCACATCTTTTTAGCACAAGTGATTAAGCAACACTGTTTCACACAAGATACAAGATGGAACATAGTTCTCAGATTATTGCTAAAGTCCTAGCTAATAATCTTTATCGCCTTACCAAAATGTCACCAAACTACCTGCTACCGTATTCCAAAGATTAGAAAATAATTCTTGTTCCTTTTGTATTGAATGCTTTGTGATATACAAATTTTAAACTTTTGCACAACGACGTACTGAACATTTCTTTTTGGATAGAAAAGCAAGCATTTTCAATTTTTTTTTCTTTGGTTATAAATATCACCTAATTTCAATAAGAGTCAATAAAAAAACAAAAGATGTAGTAGTCTTCAGAATAATATAAAAAGTTTTTTTTTAATAAATAACACAGTAAAGTAAAAAAATAGGTCTAGAGAATTTTTTAAACATCTTTTAGCCCCTATGCACTCATTTAGAATGAATAAAAAAAGTGAGAGAGCATATGGATGCGAAAGTTATTTTAATATAAATTATCAACTTAACAGGTTTTTACATAATTTAATTGCTTAGTTTTTATCACGTAACTAAAATGAGGTCCAATATATAGTGATCAAATATATAGCCTCAAATCATTTAATTAATTAGATGCAGAATGAATCACTAGGTACATTTTTTTTTCACAGCAAGTATACAAATTCATAACGCTCTTCAGTAATATTCAAGGTAATATAGCACATTATCAATACATTTACCTTACTGGTAAAATCCTAGTATACGGTGCTGCCTTGGCACGAATTTGAAAATTATTGCCAACACCAAAAATAATCCAAAGAACATCTATATATATGCTATACACACAAAGTATATGTATATACACACATAGTATATATACTATATACATGGTATATACTATAGTTTTCAGATAACCGGCCCTTGGCGATTTGTTGACATCTCGGAAGAGTGCGCGTGCGCCAGATTATGGTAACCCTGACAAGCGCTACAAACCTGCAACCCACTCGGGGAATTCTCCTGAAGGACGGAAAGGGAATTTTTCTGTTTACATAGATTTAGGAAACGTTACAGCAAGACAAAATAGAAGTTGGAAAATCGAAAATCATAATTAGTAGTTCATATTTTCGCAAATCCTTATCAGGTGTTAATCATAATTAGTTCATATTTTCGCAAATCGTTATTAACACCCGATAATGCTAAAAATAAAGCTCTATTCTGTTTATGGAACGTTAACGGTAAGACAAAATGAAAGTTGGAAAATCGCAAATCAGTTCATGTTTTCGCAAATCGTCATCGGGAGTTCATTTCAATTGAAAAAAATAAAGCTCTATTCTATTTATTTCTACCTTTTGTAAAATAAGGTAGTTGCATGACCCCCCCCCAAAAAAATCGCAAATCATAATTAGTTCATATTTTCGTAAATCGTTATCGGGAGTTAATTGCAATTGAAAAAATAAAGCTCTATTATATTTATTTCTACCTTTTGTAAAATAAAATAGCTACCTCAGATGCTAAATTTATGTAGGGAAGAAGGACCAGAAAGGTAAAATACAACTTTTTATTTAAGCTCAATGCTCCTAAAATATATTAGAATATATACAGGTGACACTTGTATATTAAAGTGGCCACCATAACAAAATAAGCTGATTGAATTGCCAATTTTGTAACATGTAACTTTTAAATATTGCAAGGCTCTGTCTGCTTTAATAAGGAACTGCTTATTTTATTTCACTGTTTTATTTTTACATTTAGCATACCTGTAACTTATGTTAATTTCACACATTTATACCTATAGTATTTTATTTTACACATTTATACCTGAAATTGTGAATAATTCATAAAATGCTGGTGAACAAAACCTGTGTCTATACATAAGAATTAGCTTTAATAAAATAAGTAGCATCAAAGTCTAATAATTTATGCTAATTGCTCTAAAAACCCCATACTTTTCTTCAAAACAGCACTTGAGTTATTAATTGTGTTAACAATGCAGTTGTTCTACATTTTTATACACAGTGCTGTTACTTTCATTCTTTGGTTCAAAAAAAGTGAATGGAATTATACATTCTGAAAATTAGTTCACAGCAATAATTAATCTTTTACTCGTATACAATTTTTCATCAGTTAAATTTAAATTAGCTTTATGCGAATGAGAAAATTTGATAAATTCTTATGAAATGTATAATATTTTTAAACAAGTGCATTTTTAGCCACTGGTTCTTTTTAACTTAAATTCATATGCATTGTTTTGTATGCAAGATAAATAGGTATTCTTCTGTTATCAGGACAAGATTCAGAATTATGTATATATGCATGTATGGATGGATGTATGTGTGTGTAAGTGCATACATGCATATATATATATACATATACACATGCATACATATGTACATTTCTGAAACTGATCCCAATAACAAAACAGTAATAATTAAATAACATCCTGACTACTGGGAATCTGAGGTCAGAACTTTCATTAGTTGCACCTATCACATAACTTCAGAGATATAACTGTATTAAATTTTAGTACTTAAATATTAGCTTGTTAAAGTTAAAAAGACGCAAAGCTGAAGAATGCAAATGTGATATATTTCTTAGCAATCCTGTACAGTAATCGCTGTTTAAAAATGGTTTTGATTATCTGCAGAATAAAGAAAACTAAAAAAGGTTATGTTGTAATTGTTGTTGAATTCAGATTGGCCAAATGATAAAGCGCATTTGTGAAATCCAAGATGGCGGCCGACAAATCGCCAAGGGCCGGTTATCTGAAACGTGCTTATGTTTAACTACACATTTTCTTTGAATGACCCGTTAACTACTCACCGTATATGTCCCGTTTTTACTGCTTATCATAAAGTCGCCAAAAGTAGCCAAATCCTGTGTGCACCGGATACTAGGATTAAACCCATCCACCTTTTTTGCTGTGCCTTAAAATGCCCATCGACACGATAGAAATCGAAGAAATGGAATTATATCAACTTAATTTGTCACTTGTCCTCAAGGAAAACTAATTGAAATTTTAAAATTATTATGCACATCGAGTAATTCAGAAAGTTAAATCACTCACTGTTAAAATGTGTCGTAACATGATTTCTGTTTCATATTGGAACTGATAAAAATATTAACAAGATAATTAACAACAATTATGATCATATACTTTTATATAATGATTATGACAGTAATTTATGGAACCAGTACTTACTGTAAAATGTAATAAATTTCGACACAGTTAAAATTTAAATCAAGCCCTATCCCACAATATTGTATAAAACGAAGTATTTTAATACTGTACGCTTAAAAATAACATCGCAGCATATTTTTTTCAAAAATAAATATAATATAAAGTATGCATAAAGTTCTGCATCGGGCACACCACACACATGCACGTTTCATTTCTATTTATGTATTTTGGCGCCATCTTCCAGGAATAATCAACACCTCAATATACGCTATGCTATCTATAGGAATAATCCACGGAATTATTGGGCTGAGCACTTTATACGTGCGAAAAAAAGGAGATCTTGAAATTGAATTCGAAACAAGAAAATTCCAGAAAAAATCTCTATGTTGATTAAAAATAATTCCCAGCTATTAATTGTAGAAACCAGTTGTTATGTTCGTAAAATGGATATTTGTTCTCCGCAAGTCTCTTATATTAATTTTGCTTCTCTCAGGTATAAATTTAATTAAAAAATTCTGTTTTGGAGAGCTATGAAAAGGTACGAGTAGATATAATAAATTACTTCCTGTTAAGAAAGGCAAAACAGGAACACATACACTGAAGCGGAAAAGGAATTACCGACTCACTTGAATCTCAGTTTAGCGCAAGCGTCACTCATGAACATGTAAAACATTTAGTTTATGATTTATTTCCATTATTCAAAACCGTGTTTTTTGCCCGAAAAGGTGTTTATAATAGTGGTACACTGCGCAGAAAAAAAAGGGGGGACAGTTCTATATCTCCCCTTCTACTGGGCCAATTGATGAAATTCAAAGATTTTTTTATGTGTCTGCGACTGCAAGAAAACGCGACTTAGGATATATATTTACGTCGATGCAGCATGCCTTCTTGTCAAAGCATGTCATCCCACGATTATACGTGAACATTCCACAGCTCTCGTCTCCGAGGCCACAACTATCTCAGTGCATCACACAAGCACTAACACTCCATAACACTTTTGTCTCCACCTACAATCTCACAATGAGCCTGTGCTGTCTTTAGGAGACCTGAATTATACTCAGACATTGATGCACATGTCTATTATTGGCGGAGACTGACGAAGACACCTGCGCCATGGAACTGGTACAATTCTAATGAACAGGCAGACTGATTTTATTCCTTGGTCGTCTTGACACGGAAACGGTTAAAGACTGGCGAGTCAATTACAACATCACGGTGATGACTTTCTGGGTCCAGCCGCATTATTGATTTTTCCTGGAAACACCAGTTCTCCATGGATATTTCCGTACTGGACGAACTTTCAAGTGATAACAATCCTGTCAGGATATTCTGGACCTCAGGCGATATTACATCAGACCCAGGGAGTTTCGTACTGACGGCAGTCTTTTCCAAAGCCCTCTCCAACAAGGTTTTGCCTACCCACGATACACAATGGGAGTGACATAACCTTTGGTAAAGGAGCCTCACTAAATTACAAAAGGCAATGAGAATTATTGGGGGAAGAATTGAGTTAAACGGGTGTGAAACACAAAGCTCAAGAGCTCCAGATTATGATTAAAGATAAAGAGAAATGCTGCAAGGGCGTATCAACGTACCAGACAACGAGATGATAAAAGGAACTTCAATCGTGTGTGCGAAGCGGTCAAGTGTTCTTTACAAATAACTCTCACAAGATCGCTGACTAAACTACCTCAGTCTCTTTCTGTGAGATAACCCTGTTGAAGAGAGTGAAGAGGTTACAAAAACTGTTATAAGCCATTTACGTCCTCCGCCCTCACGGAATCTATTAAAGGAGTAAGAAAGGGTCTCACTCCGGAATCTCAGTTCGCAATTAACAACATTTCAGACTCAGACACTGAAAGCTGACTTCCGCACTTCCACTCCTTTTTACAAAACAGCATGCACAGACAATCATTACTCAGCCCATGCCATTTAGGCTGTCTCTATATCATGCGAATTGCAAAAAGGAAGATCTCTGGAGTTAGACGGGGCACAAATGAGATGATTTCAGCACTTCCCTGTCAAGATAATACTCTACTTCACAAGTTAGTGAATATCATACTACGATGGCAATACTTCCCAACGGATGGAAAACGCAAGATTGTCCCTGATGTGAAGCCCCCCACAAGCCTGCGATGCTCCTGAGAGTTACCCACCATCAGTTTGCTAAGCTCAATTAGCAAAACGTGGAAAAGCAGTGGGGGGGTGCATTTTCCCATGATTAAAACATCTTCCTGATGAGCAAATATACATCCTCAGTTCCCGGCTAATGGCTACAGATGTCAGTCTATAGGGGAGCAATTGTCATGCAAGCGAGGCTTGTAGGCTCCTCATGATAACTGACTAAGTCAATGACACCTATATCAACTAAAACGGTAGAAACTTTGTGTTCAGTTTCTGGTACAGTATACACAAAACCGGCGGTTACTTTACGGGTGGTGTTCCACATGGATCCCTTATGGGCCTACCCTATTCAATATTACGTGAACGACATCCCCACAACACAGAAAACAAACTAGACATGTAGCAGACAACAGCAGGATCCTTACGCAAAGTGCATTTGTTTTTTAGATCCGCAATACAACACACATCCACTGCTAGAGACTTGGCTGACCAAATGGAAAGTCAAAGTGAATGTCGACAAGACACATGCCATACTGTTTACTACTAAAAGAATTTCCCGACTCACCTGCAAATGTATGGTGTGGACATTCCCTGGGTCAAGCAGGTCCCTTATCTGGGTGATCCTCAGTAAATCTCTTACATGGAACCCACACGTTACACATATTCTCAGGAAGTTTCGAGCTAGTAAAGCTTCACTCTTCCCCTTAATTGCTCGAAACAGTGTTCTATCTATTGATAATAAGTTGCTATTTACAAAACAATGTTGCGTCCAATTCTTAGTTATGCATGCCTCGTCTGGCATACTCGTGCAAAGTTTGAGAAGGCAGCTGCCCAAAACGGGGTATTGCGTATGATATGTAATGCCCCCTGGTACATTCAGAATAGCCAAATTCGTAAAGAGTTAAGAATAGAGGATCTTTGTGATTTTTATTGCCGCCTATCTAGGGCATTTTATGATATAAACAGGAACTTCTGGACAATCTGTGGTTGTTAACTATTGTTATGATACTAGGGACCCCAATTTCAGTAAAAGCCCAAGGGCGATCCTAAATGTTAGTAATGTTAATTTTGTATATGTGTTATTATGCAAATTGTTGCTCAGATTCTTTATTGTATATTGTTCTTTTTTTCCTCCTGATTGCATTTTGTTTATAGTGGCACTAAGGCGTCGCACTTCGTATTTTGTTTCTCTGTGTGTACATGTTTCTTCTGTAAATAGTTGTTAAAAAAAGTTAATTATGTATGGATTAGTACTTAGGTACTTAAGGTAAAAATATGTATTTAACTATTAGCAATTATGAATTTAAATTCTTACTCATTTAATTATTTAGCACATTCAGTTATATTTCTCATAATTCGAAACTTTTATCATGTTATTCGATGAGGGGTAGGGCTATGGCGCCCAGGCACCTTGGTGGTTAAGCACCGCAGTTCAATAGATAGGATATATATTAGATTTCCATATGGCATCATTCTAACACAGGTATTTTGACACAAAATCGGAAAATCCGAAAATGGCATGCGAAATTTTTCCCATATTTCGATTCTACGACTCAAATTATGCTTAATTATTAAATTTTGTAAAATTTGGTGTGAAATTTACGGAGAAATTCAGAAATTTCTCTTGGAGTATTTTTTTCAGTTTTCGCCAAGAATAATTTACTTGGCGAATTTCTTAATTTATAGCAACCTATTTTCCTTTTCATTGTAGACGAGCGGAAAAAACACATCTGGCGTTATTAAAAAAAAAAAAAAAAAAAAAAAAAAAAGGAAGCCAAATTTTAAAACGCTCTAATATGTAAATTCATGCATATCCTAGAAAGTTTTGAATAAAAAATTCTTAATTTTCTGCAGGTGTGCCTAAAAATACATTTACTTTAAGATGATGTTAAAAATTTTATAGGTTATAATTCAAAATTTTTTTTGAAAGATTTCTAAAAAATATTTAAAAACAAAATTAAAAAAATAAATCATAAAAAATATGGCGAATTATATTTGGATTAAGCCTAAATTTCGAATTTTTGAAGAAGGAATCAAGTAAGTTTAATTAAAAAAAGAGATGTTAATAAATATTATATCAAATTCAATTAACATTGAGGAGATAAAATTTTGAGAGCTAATTTTTTAAAAACTACTCGTGCGATTTTAACAAATTTGTTTGGCATAATTTGAGTCGTAGAATCGAAATATGGAAAAACATTGGCATGTCATTTCAGAAAAAGTTCGATTTTGTGTCCAAATACCTATGTTAGAATAAGGCTATATATAAATTTAATATATATCCTAAGTCGCGCTTTCGAGACATGAAAACCGCAAGTTGAATTTTGTCAATTGGCCCAGTAGAACGAGAGATATAGAACTGTCCCCCCCTTTTTTTTTCAGTGTACACTGAGCAAAGAAAACGCTCGCGAACTTGATATACTTAATCATAAATTCTGAATGCTGAGTTAATTAATGTCTGATGTCTATATGTCTGATGGAAACTTTGCTATTCATGATAACTCGTCGTTCAGTTATTGCCGGCTTGACGCACTTTAGCTACGTCCTTTATAAATACTAGGTGAATGACTTCATACATACATTACATTAGGTTTTTGTGCTTTGACAATGCAATCATACCTCAGTTTTAATCCATTTATCATAACATTGTCAAATAATGTCAACTAGTCGACAGTCTCATCTCAGCTTTCAACATAGGAAAAATATGTCGCAGTAGTTTTCAAGAGAAAATTTAGATATAGTAAACAAAGATATTAAAATGTGTGATATAGAAATTACAAGATCACGCCTCAGGTGTTTCGCTTATATTCGCCTCATATATTGCATGAGTACTTGTAAGACTGAAGCTGCTAAAAAATACATCCTTTTAGTGTTTTGGAATTAGATTATTTACATAGAAAACAAATTCCTCATTTAAAAGCTAAGGCTTGTTTACATTAGTCAAATTCTTAAATGCGAGTCTAAAAAACATCGGCGAACTCGTCAACTCTTTATTGCATATACTTTTAATACGATTTTAATCATATGTTTAAAACTGCTAATAAAACTGAATTAAATATGGATTAAGCATAACAAGGGTATTTCTGATATAAATATCGCAAATACTAAGTGAAAAACACTAACTGAATACAAAAATTTAAATAACCAATCAATTTAATTTTTAAAATTAAGCTATATTATATTCCAACCAGTGATACCAGAAAAATATATTTATAGCATTTTCACAAATTTACACTCATATGACTAAACTGGAATGATAAGTATTGAATTTTAAAGTTACAAATTCGCAATTTACAACAGTTTATTAAATTGTTATGAAATAACTTCCTTAGCAACGTATATTCAAACAAGAAATAAGAAGTTAAGCCAAGAAGTAAAATTTTGTTGCGAATATTCACCGAAAATTGAAAATCTTGTTAACCCGGTTTTTAACGAACCTCAGGATATAACGAACGAAAGTTTTGGTCCTGTTCCAATTTCATATAGACTTGATACTGTTTTATGCGGCCATAGCATATTTCCAAACGTATAAAAGTCAAAGATAACAAACCTTCTAAATAAAGTTTTTGTATTTTTCAAATTTGTTCCAGAATTTCACCCGTTTTTCGATGAAAAATTATCCATCCTTAAATCCATTTTGTTTAGAGCAGGGATTCTCAACCGGAAGTACGCATACCACTGGAGATACGCAAGAGAAAAATAGGTGATACTCAAAATATTTTTAACTGCTTAAATTCAAAGATCTCATGAAAAAAAGAACAATTCATAGACATTTCCTATGGTCGAGCTCTAACTTAAGATTTCTGAAATAATACACTTGTTAATTTTTGGCTGAACCGAAAAAAAGAATTCAAAGGCATTTCAAATAAAGCTATTAAATTTTCAAGCTTAATGTCATGAAGAGTAAAAATATTAAACTTATTCTCGTTAGCAAAAATTCAAGGTTTTATTTCACTTACTGGTGGTGTTCCTTTTCCAAAACTGGATTTTCAGAAATAGTATATTGGGCCAAATTTGCATTTCGATTATTTTTTCTGCGACACTTACGGCCAAAAAATATGTTTGAATAGTAAAGTACTATGAATTTGTGAAATTTAACAGGAAAAAAATAGAAATTGTGTTTTGATTATTATTCCTTACGTCTTGATTTGAGTTTCAGTAACTGATAAATCATGTTTGGTAAGATCGGTAATCTGATTTTTTACTGATAACCTTCCACTGTAATTTTTTTTTCATTCAAAATGAAACCTGTTGGGCAAGAAAATATAAAAACCTCTAAGGAACGGTTGATAGTCCTTTCTTTCCTTTTTCAATTAAAAGTTAAAAAGCAACAAGCATGCGGTTATTATTGATTTGTAATCATCATCATACTTACTATTATGTATGCTGAAATATGCGCAGACAGCTCACTTTCAATGGCAGATTGCCAGTTAACGAATATAATTTTCATTAGCGAAAAATGAAAACAAATCAAAAAATGTTCCTTTCCAAAATGCAGTAATCTTGCCAATTTAATAATTGCCTACTTAAATACATTAATGAATTAAAGATTGACTTAAATGTGTTTAATTATTGATTTCCACGATGACAAATAGTTAACACAAAAAAGTAATTTGCCGTAACACGTGGCGTAAACTTTCAGACAGCGTAGCATTTTTACCCAGAATACACTTTACAGTAGTGTAACTGAAAATTTCATTAGAGGGAAAAAAATGAGTAGAGTCAAATCTCTTACATTGATGGACACTTGATTTTAGCCGACTCATCAAGAGACAGATTCTCCCTTGATCCCTAACAGTCCCTTGATCTTCAAAGTAAGGAAACAATGCATTTTTTTTAACGCACATTTTCTAATGTGGACAAAAACTTTGGTTCGGTTATTGTCTACTTTAGGAAGGTTCGATGACTTTAATAAAAAATAAGCAGTAAAACTTCTTAAAATGAAATAAGAAATTATGAATTTTATAACATTCTGAGCCATTCATCATACATCAAATTACGTTTCGAATGAATATACGAGTATATGCAATTTAGGAAAAAAAGAATTACAGATTTTTTATTGATATCATTCAAAAAATTTTGTAGCATTATTAACCTCTTTTTTTAGTCCTTCTGGAACTTCTGGGCAAAATTGCTTTCGTTTTGGCATTTTGCATCGATTCGCGATTTCACTTTTCAAATTGTTGCCACCAAATATTATCGCCCTGTATTATATTTAAACAAATTAAATAATGAAGAATCTGCATGGATGTATGTATATTTCTCGCACTGTGATAAAACAACGGTACCTAGAGCCATCAAAATTTGAATAACGTAATCTTCCATAGAATATGGGGCATGTGGAAACCCTAATTTGAATTTGAAATTTGTTTTATTATTTATTTCATATTTTGTAACACTCCAACGAATTTTTGGTTAATAAACTAAACGATTTCAAAGCGAGCAATGGCAACACTGTACGGGGGAAAAAATTATTTCCAGCGCGCGAGACTCTGTATCGGAAATTCTAAAGATATGCTCATTTTAAAGCTATTTTGCGGTATTGCTGAAATTTTATAGTTTACGTGCGACGAAGATAATATTTAATAAATAAAGGTAACACACAAAACGTTAAAAAAAACGCCCCTTTGAACGTCATTTAAAATCTAAAACCTTTCAGACTTTTCAATTTTTTTTTTTTTTTTTTTTTTTTTTTTTAAGAAGACGTGAAAAATGTTCAATGTCCTTGTTGGGAATAAAAACCCGGGTCTTTCGATGCTAATCGGATGTGCTTTCTATTTATACCTCGAAGGCACGAAGTAAGAAAAGCGGGAAATCTTCTGATACCGTAATGTGATGTAAACATAATTTCAATTACAGAATTCATCATTTTACATGAAAAGAATAGACATCAGATCGGGTAATTTATTAATGTAACTTGAAAAGTAAATCTCTACATATAATAAAAGAAAGAGTCTGTCTGTGTGTGTGTGTGTCTTTCGTTCGCGCTGCGCGTACGCTTAATAGACCCACGGCTACGAAATTTGGTACATACGTGCACCTAGACAAGAGCCAGTGCACCTCGAAGCGATTTTTTCGAAATTCGAATTCGAATTTTTTTTAATTTTATCTTTTGTGACGAAATCGCGTCATTTTGAGACATAATGGGCTATAGGAAAGCGAGATTTTACTCTACACACTCCATTTTCACATCGTCATGAAACGTAGGCACTTAGCTATTTTACGAAATTAAAATAAATTTCGTGTTTCAATAAATCGATTAAATACGAATTTATTTAACAAAGTGAGCTTAACACTTTTTCAATGGGATTTTTTCTAAAAAAGTTTATTTTTAAGTGATTTTGTCAACAATTTTCTTTTCTTATTGTTGTTGATAGATTTTTTGATGAAATCTCATCATTTTGAATAGTTTCATTCTTTTAGAAATAAGAATTTGGCAACAATTTTTCCTCGTATTTCTTATGTCACTGTTTTTAAGAGACTGGCATATTTCATTGTCATATTTTTTATATATAAATACATTTTTATTGGTTTTTTTTTTATAAAGTTGTTCTGCAGAGTAAAATTCTGCGCAGAATTTTTTGTTTTTTGAGTTTCTTTTATGTTATTTTTTACTTATTTCACTGTTTGTAAGATACTGAAAAGTTTTGCATGATTTTTTTTCTTCAACGGAAAGTTGGTTAATTTTTTTATTAGGATAATTAATATTTAAGGGATATACCTTATTTCATTGTAATTTTTTTCTCTTGAAAATATAAGATAAAATATCATTAATTATACTTTTCTTTTCAGAATTTATTGTTTTTGTATTCTTTTATGTTATTTATTGCTCATTTCACTGTTTTCAAGATATTGAAAAGTTTTGAGTGATTTTTTTTTAGGAAACAAAGTTCTTAACCTCCTTTATACCATTAGAGTTCTTAAGATTTTGCAAAGGTAAGTTGGTTTATTTATGCATTAGGATAATTAATATTTGTATTAAGGGATACTGCTTAACAGCGTTCGAAGCCCTTGATGTTACTTTGCAAGACCTGAGACATAACAACAGAAGAATGGAAAGCATTACACTGGTACTTGCCGGAGATTTTCGGCAGACACTACCCGTTGCTCCACGGGGGACACGAACTGACCAAATGCATGCATGCTTAAAATCATCATATATTTGGAATGAAATTCACAGACTTCATCTTAGAAGTAATATGAGAGTTCAGATTAATGGAGATACTACTGCTCAAGAATTTGCTGACAATTTGCTGAAACTAGGAAATGGATTCTTCACCCCAAATAAAAAAGATGGATGCATATCAGTGGAATGTATTGGAAACATCGTGAAAAGCCACCAAGACCCTTTACTTGCAATATTTCCTAATTTAAGACAGCACTTCACCGATCACAGCTGGCTGTGTGAAAGATCCATTCTTGCACCAAAAAATTATACAGTGAGAGCCATTAATAAACAACTTTTAGGACAGTTACCAGGCAGTGTTAAAATTTACAAGTCAGTTGTTACTATGTGTTCTACAGATGAGGCTGTAAATTACCCAACTGAATTTTTGAATTCTTTAGAACTGCCTGGAGTACCATCGCATATTCTGGAGTTGAAAGTTGGTGCACCCATAATGCTGTTGAGAAATTTGGATCCCCCTTCACTTTGCAATGGTACAAGATTATCTGTCTAGAAGCTCATGAAAAATGCTATTGAAGCAACTATTTTAACTGGTCATGCAAAAGGAAACGACGTCTTCATCCCAAGAATTCCCATTATACCATCTGATGTACCATTTCATTTTAAACGGCTTCAGTTCCCAATATCTTTAAGTTTTGCAATAAGTATAAACAAGACACAAGGAGAGTCTTTAAAGGTTGTTGGGCTAAACCTATAAAGTCCATGTTTTTCACACGGCCAGTTATATGTTGGTTGTTTTAGAGTGGGAAGAAGGGATAATCTTTACATCTTTGCTCTCAATGGAAAAACATTTAATATTGTGTACCCAGAAGCCCTTCAAGAATAGCAATAAATTAACTTACTGTAACACTTTATAAACTGTTTGCTTAAAATTATCCTATGTCTGAAACGAAGCTCAAAGACTTTGCTTTACAAATTAAATGGCTGCGATGTGACTGCTGACACATTTTCTCAGAAGATTCTTAAAGTATCATAACATTTCAATATTTCAGAAAAAGAATCATTCAAACTATCGAGTAAGACTATCGATTTTTATGACTTATAACTTATTTTTTTTCTGGTCATTAACTACTAAAGAGTTTTCGCCAGTAGATTGCATTAAAGTTCACTAGGCAAAGATATTTCCAAATAAATGGTACTAACAGAAGTACCAACACCCGTGGCGAAGAAAATTCAGCTGCGTGAGCAGGCAGATCTTAATACTTACGAAAGTAGGCGTCCATCATAAAAATTGTTAGAATATTTATATAATTTTTTATGTAGTTATGGTGGTGGTTAAGAAGGGAGATATAATTTATGCTTTATAATATATTTAGGGAGATATATTTATGCTTTTTAACAAATATTTAATGCACATCGCATGCAATCAGTCTGCTAAAAATTCAAGATGTATATGTTTTTATGGAGATACCTCAGGGCCGTATGCAAGGGAGGGTTGGAATCTTAACAAAGAGAAAAACGTTGGAACAACTTACGCGGCCATCGGTCACAGGTGTGTCTTTTAGGCATTTTCCCAGTACGTTTAAAAACCGGACGAAGGCTGGCCGCATAGCGGCTAGTGAAATTATATTTGTAAAGTCATTATTTAAATTAACCAGCCATTATAACTTGAGCTTTTATTACAAATTCTTCTTTCCATTTCCTCACCAGAATGTAAATGAGCTATATCTAGCATTTAAACTGGGGTTTTTGGATTTTAAGACAGAGCGTGTTTTTGGCTGCGCGTGCATGCTACGCTCCTTAGCTCCTACCACCTTTAATAGTATTCGGCTTTGTGTTGTTCCGCTGCCGACAATTTGATTTTAACTCTCCGGTTAGAATTACTGAGTCAGCTTAGAGTATATTTAAATTGTATAGTCTTTGACTATAACTTAAATTTGACTGTTTCTGTTTAGTTCTGTTAGGACAAGAACATACATTCATGCTTAAATTTCTGTTTAATAAAAAAATTATTAAAACTTATCATGATTTGTTGCTACTTAAATTTTAACAATGATCCGCTTTTCATCTCATAGGGTTATTTGCTCCACATCAAGTAAAACGTCCTACATTATTTGAGTAGCTTACAGAAAAAAAAAAAAAAAAAAAAAAAAAAAACATTTTACGTTTATATATAGTTTCTTTCATACGTAATATTTTCAGAAAAGTATCTATATTGTAAGGATGAGAAATAACCAGAGTTATCGCCAAGTATTTTAGTGCTTCATCTAAAGTAATAATGATAGTAGTTTTTTATTTATTATTATTTATTCAATGATATGACAAAACGTACAATAAAAAGTTATTTTTTAACTACGTTGCATCTGGCAATTCAATCAGCGTGTTGTGTTTTGTAGTATGAAGTTATTGATTTAAAAATCACTCTTGCTATCTGCAATGGAGTAGGGGCTACTTCCCGTAACTTCTTTGTGTGTAAAAATCGAAATCAAGAAAAAATTCGTTTCCAAAAATACTCACAATTTTTTACTACAATATGAAATATCATCAGAGCCCTAGAAGTATCAATTCCAAATCATGAACACTGTAACAATTAACATTATTTTAAGGTGACACTTTGCTGTTTTTCCTAGAAAGAAAATTTAAATGTTCATAATGGTCATCCTACTGCTAATTATCATGTAGGATTCTCGCTACCTGCAACGAAGTAGAGGGGGTGATGTGGCTTGAAGGGATAAACGGAGTTCTAATTATAAAGATTAATTTGGAGTCAGCAACCAATAGGAGCATTTCCTGGAACTTAAAAATAACCATATTTTCTTCAGTATGAAATTGGTTAATAATGTTACGCTGCTGTTTCACTGAATCGTGAGTCAGTCTTTTATTAAATCTGCAACAATATGGAATCCTAAATATGAAGTTTTTTGACCCAAGAAATTTTTGTTTGCGTACAAAATCACTACTTTTTCTAATATACTCAGAGAAAGGCACCAAGTACAAATAAATACTATATATTTTGGCGCAAAAAGATAGCTCATATCTTAATTTTTCTGTATCAGATGCTATCTATACTCCATTAAGGATTCATGATGAACAATCCTTCAGCATTCAGTCTTATAAAAAGTAGTACTATCGTTTGCAGATTAAATGCAAATATAAAGTCACTTAAGTCAAATTTAAAACTTTATTTTAAACAGAGGATAAATTAAATATTAAGCTCTTATCTTCCTGCCACGTACATAATTTACAATCACTGTAAGTTAAAGGCAATTAATGCGCTTGCTACTGAAAATATTCTTTTTGGTTGCCAATTCAGTGATAAGTTTTTGTCTTAGTTTCGCGGTTGCCATGCGACGGTTTGACTCATTCAAACTCGGAGAATCTTTAGTTGTTATTTTAGGTAGGGCAATGGGAGGAGGATACGCGTTGTATTTATACTTTTGAGTTCTTTTTTTTCACACATTTATAAATTTTAAATCAATTTCTCCTCTACTTGTATTGTAACGATGAATCAAAGTTTGCCATTTTTACCTGGTTATTCGTTTCGGGACCCAACGGTAAGATTAACTGATACTTTGCAAATATCGTTCACATATTGTGAAGATTAATTAATGCTTTATTAATATCACTCATTTATCGAGAAAATTAGTTGCATTGTACTAATATAATTTATTTATTACGAAGATTAATTATTTTAGACCCAAGTGAAAAGTTTATGAGAGAAAGTTAATTAATAATTATGCTATTACTTGTAATAATTATAGATATGCAATTTAGATTTTTAGCAATTTTCCCTTTTTAGTTTCAATATCCTAAAGGAAATAACGTTGCATTGTGTTAGAAAACTTCAGATCATACTTGTCGGTGAGCTTTTTTCATTCGCTTATTGATTAATGTAATTGTGTTAATTTTCTGTGATGAGAGTTTAGAAATGGAAAAATAAGCACCGTAGAAGCATAGCTTGAGTAATAGTGATGATATACTTATCATTAAATAACTGAACTTAAATATGAAAGAAATTTAAAACATCATTTCATGTAGAATTAGAAATTTATTTGTGCCTGTCTGAATTAATCTGAATTTAGCGTTTTTAAAATTTAGGAAGACACCAAACAGCAGAATTTAGAACACGGAGAGACTGTTCTGGTCCGAAGACGATTTGATAGTCCACTATCACTAAACCCCTTGACAGAACTTTCGGTTCGCCAGTATTTTAAGTGCCCTCTGTTGCACAGACACTATATACTTACAAGAATTTATATCTTCTTCGGTATTCGAACCAAGCCCATTGACACAGCAGTCAGTGTTGCTAACCATTACGCCGATCAATGCGACGGTGGTACTCCACATCATCTTCAGTCCAATCTTTCGCAGTACAGAAATCATGGTGTATAAAAGGGACTTCATATTGTAATAAGATATCGCAGAGGAATCTGCGCAGGCACATTTCGCAATGGAGTTAAATATCATAATGTTAATTCTTAACTTCCCTCAACTCATAAACAGCCTCTGAAAAAATTTCAGATATAAGTAAATAAATAAAAAACTGAACCCACGACTCACAACAACTCTCTAGGGACAAATGAAGAAAAGACATATGATCTGGCCATCAGATGATTTCCGACTTTTCCGAAAATCGTGGTACTCAAACGAAGAGGGTGGGGAAGTTATACGTGGGAAGAGTAATAAGAAAACAGTATCATCGTAACTACCAGGCAGCAACTGGTTAACAAAGAAAAGATCATTTTAACAAATATTATTCACAAATATTTTAACAAGTATTGAATAAATGATTTAAAAATTAGCATCGAACTTGACAAGGTTATGATTAAATAAATTGAACACTTGAGGTTTCATGGGGAAAGTTACCAAAGATGGAAGTAATTTCTGTAAAATGAAACTTTTAACGTGTATTAGCTTACTGGTATCGTAATTGATTTTTATTTAATTTTCAGAAAACTCGATTCGTGTTCCCTCGGACATTAGTGTACAGCAAAGGAGTTCCTGTCCCAAAACCGATTGCTTCCACAACTGCAAAAGCAGCCGCAGAGTTACTGGAGGCACAGAACAAAATTCCTGACACTGAGTTTCTTGCCACTCTTACTTATGGACCAAAAAGAACAACACCAAAAGAAGTCTCTCTACCTCGGTATCTCGCCATGGATAAGAAAGTACGTTATTGGAATTTCTTATTGCCTTATATTTTATATTTGTCCATTTTATCATTTTACACCAAACTTTCCAGGAAAATATCTGTTAATGTGCAGGAAATATATTTTGATATGAAATCATTATACAAAGTTTTAATATTTTCTTTGCTTGATCGAGAAGATACCCGGTTTTAAAGTCATAAGATTTTTTGGTACTATTCTGTTTTGAGGGCCGTAAGAAAAATTGCAGCGAAAATGTATGCGCAAAAGCGCCAAATCTAGCAAACGCGCCCTCAACAGCGCGCCAAATCTAGCGTATGCGTTGATTTCAGATTGCGTAAGTTTATATAGACGAGATTGCGTAAGTTTATATTTCTTAAGACGCCATTGAAATACTAGTTTAATTTTTAAATCCTTTTTTGATATCTTATGGATTTAACAATTTGGGAATTGCCCATGACGAAAAGTCGGCGATAGAATTTTAGGTAAAGTGCAGAATCACCCACTGCTTGACGCGTTTTCAAGAATTGCACATACTCGGTATCCATGTGCACATCGACCTATTTTCACTTAAAAAAAAATCCTGGAATTGCACAAAAATGACATTGCGCACACCCTTGACTTTATCTATGTATACATCGACCTATTTTCACTTAAAAAGTAAAAGAAAATTGACAAAAATCCAACTGCTTCTACCCTTGCAAAAAGCATAAAACAAATAAGTGAGCAATTCTGCACTTTACCAAGAATATTTTCAAAGAAAAGGCATCATTCATTATAGAAAATTACGTTTGAACAACCAACGAGATGAAATTATGCTTTAGCGATAAGTCGGTAGCGAAATAGCGATGCAGGCATCCATTCAGTTATGCTTAGCAATTTTTATATACTAAATTATAATAATGATCTGAAATAGTTATTTACTCTTATGCTTCCATTCAGTCATGTTTAGCCTTTTTCATATAAATTATAATAATAAACATGTATTATATGAAATTAACATTTCATCTAAATTAAAACATCAATCTTAGATAGTTATTTACTATTATATACTTCTTTTCTTGCCGCTATTATTAGGGTTGCCGCAATTCTTTTTGGCAGCATTGGCTTCAACAATACTTTGGCGATTTTTTACGGTCCTCGAAACTGAATAGTACCGATTTTTTGTCTCCTTAGCAAAGAATAATATTTCTATATTTCATCAGCCTTACACTTGTATTCCGATTAGAAGCGTAAAAATTTGCACGAATTTCGCTACATTTTAAGGCCTTTTAAGTCAGTGGCAAGTTATAATTCATTCTGTTTGTTTGTTTCTACAGTGTTTTAGTGAAAGTTATAGTGTTCATATTTACTCCAATAGCATTGTTACGTCGCTATTCTAAGCCAATAAACTATTAAACCCATTTCCGTATAACATTTTTTAAAACTGTCTTTTTTAAGTCTGCCAGTGAATAAATTTTTAAGTCTGTCAGTGAAATCACTTTGAGATGACAAATTTAGAGTATGTATGCAAATTCGGTACTATCCCGTTAGAGGGGCCTTAGTCTTTGCTAAGCTTATATATTGGAGTTATTCCGTTAGAGGGGCACCAGCTGTCACTAATCATAAATGCTGTCCAAAAAGGGACTATTGAAAAGAATAAAAACTTTCCATTTTTAATATAAATAATTATTTTATCCCTTCTATACTAATATCAAAATCAGTACTAATTATTTGAAATAAAAGAAGATAAAAAGTGAAAAGATACAAGGAGCTAAAGCTAATTCTTAACTATTCAAGTCCAACTCGTAGCCCCTACATATTACAAGCTCTCAAGAATATTATCACTACTAGCTTAACTATTTTCTGAAAAGCACACAGACAGAAGTATTTAATTAGGTATATTTTATTTCAGCACATTGGGAAAGATAAAATAAACATTTACTAAACAAGTTGCGAGTATCTTGGACCTATGCAATGAATGCAAGTTAAATGTCATTGTAGTTGCAACACCTAAATACATTCTAAGAAGAGGCTACATGTCACGGATCAGCAAATAACAGCTATTCAAAATTTTAATTTACCAACCAAACTAAATGTTAAATTCTAAATCTTTCGCGAGTAGCGGTTTTCGAAACTAGGAGAGATACGCGTCAGTAAATGTTGATCTAAACACATACACGAGTACCAGCTATTCCTCTGACTTCATACTAAGTTGCGTATCACTCACATCTGTATAATCTTTGAAACGAGTGAACCAGTGAAGATACGAGACAAAAGGTAAATGCTATTCAAAATCAAATTTATTAGTGAAACTTAAATGTAATGCTACAAAGAAAGAAGAAAATAATGAAGTAAATAGATAACAAAGAAATGAAAAATTAATTTAAATAGCAGTCATCTATCTTTTAGTATTACTGAAAGCATTTCCATTTTAGAATGCAAACGTCGCCACATTCTATTATTTGGATGTAACATCCAGTGTCACATCCAATAAAATTAAAAGTGCAATTTACGGTGCATTGTTCACTTTGCCATTCGTCATTATACCCTTTTGAACGATCCGAAAGGTAATACTTTCGTATGCAAAGTTTTCGTCTATTGCGGCCACAAAAAGTTTTTGCTTTACGATGAAGAAAAGCAACAAAACGATTTTTTGTTTCCTAATATTAAAAGGTATCTGTCCCGCCTTCCTAGCATGCCTTCGTAGTGCAGTAATCAGCACGCTCGGCGCGTATTCGAGAGGCCCGTGGTTTGAGGTTTGAGTCTCGGCGAAGGCGTTGCTCATTTTTCATCTCTCCGGCTTCCGAAATAACCTAACGTCTCTACAGCGGCGCCCGAACTAAAAGAGTAGTGGATGTGACTATCTGCCCCCAGGATTTGGCGATGGGGTTCCCTAATCCACAGTCGCCCTTTAAAAGGGGGAGTATATAAGGTATTCTCCTGCTTCTTAGCATGCCTTCATAGCGTAATGGTCAGCACGCTCAGCGCGTATTCGAGAGGCCCGTGATTGGAGTCCCGGGGAAGGCGTTGCTCATTTTTCATCTCTGCGGCTTCCAAAAAATAATGTCTCTAGAATATAAGCCACCAAAATCTGACTGGGGGGAGAGACAGAATATGACTGATGTTGTTTTTTATTCATGTGAAAACACTTTTGCCCATTTCAGCGATCTTATTTGCTTCCCAGATTTTGTGTTTTTGTCACGACAACAAACATTGGCACAAATTTCTCTCATTTAGCTATTCCTGATCACAGTCATATTGTGGTTTACTTGGAGCTGGACTTCGCAAAATTCAACTAACGTCAGCTCTTGGGACCATAAATATATAAACCGTAAAGCTGTAATTAAAAAGATACGTGATCTATCAAATCATGTTTGTGTTCGTAGCCCTTTGTTTTCTTGGCATGATCGTAGTCTGCATTATCTCAACGCATCAAAAAACACTCTCTCGTTTTAGGAGATCATAAAATTTCTATTATCATTCCTTTCTTTCTATCGATTAGATATAAAACTGCACGCATTCTACAGAAAGTCAGCTTTGGGGTCAATAAAATTCGCAGTTCCATACTTAAGGACCCCATTCTGGACTTGACCTTCTCGGGTACGTACGGAGTTCCTTGCCAATGTGGTTTAATTTACACTGGTCCCACTAATACAACCTTAAAATTTCGAACTAAGAAACATGAGGCATATATTAAGAAAAAAGAAACGCAAATTCTCTAATCACATTTTCTATTTTTCTGCGGACAAAATTATTCAAAAATATCTGCTGCATTGGCGAAATATATTTTCTAGAGGCGTTTTACACTTATAAAAATCTCTCAGTTCTAATTAGTGTCCAAATTCCAATCGGCCCCACCAGCGGCCGAGGGGTAATATCGCTGAACACTGGTAGTTTGGTCCGAGGTTCGAATCCCGCGAACGGGCTGACTGCATGGGCGTTTTCGTGGTTTTCCCCATGTGTAACGTGTATACGAGCCAGTTTCCTTTAGAAAGTCCTCCCCTTAGGCAGATAGCCTTAGTGCGCTTTGCTATAATTAAATAAACCAAACGAAACCAAACCAAATTCCAATCCGTCTTTACCCTACGCTATTAAGGAAATTATTTCATAGTTGCTTTCATTTCCCATCAATAAAAAGTTCCGGTAATTTGACTTCCTTCCTCTCATTCTAATCGCTTTATCTTATCTCATTTTATCATTGGCTTCTGTTTTGTCATTTGCATTTCTGCAGCTAAAGAAGGCTCTATATTTAAACCTTCGAAAGAAACCCTGTAAATTTATTAATATTTTACTGATTCATGTTGAACTTTTCCGCTAATCATTATTCAGTATGTTATTTTGTTAAGTCAAACAGTATAGAAGTTATTTTGATCCACTCTGTATAATCTGTTTGTACATCTTCATAACTAACAAATACGTTTTCACAAATAACAGAAATTCTTGATTAAAGTTAGTAAAATTTGTGTCTGAATGCTAAGGACGGGAATGTTTTGCATTTTTTGAAATTATTTTTAATTCTTTCATTACCATTTGATGTATATTTTCATTAAAATTGGTTTAATTTCTCATTAAATTTTACATTTTTATTTAAGTATTCAATTTTAATGAAGCCAAGATTTATTTCAAGAATCCTTTTAATGCTGTTTAATGTCTAGGTGTATACAGTGCAGATCCTAGACCCTCGGTCGTCCACCAGCAAATCAAAATTGGCCGTCCTTCTTTACAAACCTTATGACTTAAATGTTTAAATTACCATATATTTTTGCGTATAAGGCGCACCGTTGTATAACGCGAATCTTTATAATTTCAAATTACATTTTTTTTTTTTTTTTTTTTAAATTGTTAGGTATATTCGCCTTGTACCGCGACCTTTTTCTTTACAAAGAAACCTGAAAGATACATGTGCGATGCTTTTATCTTTTGAAGCCATTCATTTGAAGATTTTTCCCGGGCAATATTCTAAATTGCCAAGCGATAAGGGGAAAAATATATGAGTCAGGGAAATGCTTGAAAGAGTAAGTAATTTTGCAAAGAGGGTTTGTTGTATTCGATGCAAGTGTGAATGAGAATAATATTCTAGGATTTCAAGAAAAGGGAGATATAATTTGAGGGAATAATGCATTTTCGACCCGAATGAATTCGCGGAAAAAGGAGTTGGATGTTTTTCCTTTCTGTAGTCATTTGAAGCCGTGAGTTTGAAGTGAACACCGAAGGCAATCTTCCCTTTGCTTTAGTAAAGGGACTTACTAAAACAATTGCTTATTAAATTTTAATTTATCTCTTTACATTTAATTTAATTTTAATTTAATTATTTTAATAATAATAATAATAAATTAATTTTAATTAATTAAAAAATAATTAATTATATAATAATTGCCAAATACTAATTATTAAAATTAATTAAATAATAATTACTTCGTATAAGTAACTATTAATTTTTAAATTATTAATGATTTTAATAGTCATTTTATTTATTTATTTATTTATTTATTTTTGTTCCTCTTTACTGAAGGTCTTCCATAGGGCTCCGGCACTTCTAATTTTAAAAATTAAGCCCTAGTCGAAATACATCAAGTGTTCCTTTTAGTAGTAAATTTTAGAGCTCCTGCCAAACGGGGGGGGGAAACCTAGCAACAACAACAAACAAAAAAACAGTGTTAGTTTCAAATGCATAGTCATTCAGTTTGAGAAGAAAATGAAAATCATGACGCAGCAAGGCTATTTGGTGTTGGTGAAAACTCCATGTGTGTATGGAAGAAAAATGGAAGATATTAGCAAGGAAAACGTTTACAGGAATGCTGTCAGAAGTTGCCCGGATATTCATCAAATAGCTGCTCATTACGTGTTGTTTCATTTTGCCTCCAATATTTTACTACATCTAATTGTTGTGACTCATTACATCATGTAACAAATATATTTTGCAGGTTCTTCGTTTCATGGGGTACATTCGGGACGATATGGAGGATATATGGGGAGAAAAGTATCGTATTAGGCCCGTTAAAGTTCTCTACTATTTGCAAAACGATACTATGGAAGTTATTGAACCAAAGACTGAGAACAGCGGTTTATTTCAGGTAAGTATAAAAATTTTGTCTTCTATTTCTAACTTAACTATTTCCAATTTCTAATCAGCCTTGAATATCACGTGGTCATTACCTCTCATGGTCTCTTGGTGCATTAGTGCTTGCAAGAATATTTCAGTCCAGTTTTAAACTTACAAACTTTAAATAACCAGACAGAAGTAAAAGCAAATAGTTGTATTTACAACACCAACATAGGCCTACCAAACAAAAGAATTCGGACTAGGCAGCTGATAATTTTGCAGACAAGTAAACGAATAGAATTTGCAAGTTTTAAATAACGAGATAGATGTAAAGTAACTAAAATTCATTAACTGTAACTGCCAGGCTTGCAAACTAAAAGATTACAAAATAATAGCAGTTACTTTTCAGACAAACTGCACGAATGAATTATTTTAATTTAACTATAATGAACACTGACTTGACTAATTTACTGATGACTAATTTAACTAATAAACATAGATGACATAAAGCAATCAGCTTTAAGAAATCCCGAAATTGTCAGGAATTGTGGCATTTCTTTCGTATGATATCTCTTGAATAGTACATTCAACTAACTGAAGATCCATGATTTCATTTGTCACACACTCACAGTCGATTCTCCACGCTTCTTATTCCAAAAAATCTAATAATTTATCTATAACAGGGCTCGAAGTAAATGTGGCTGATTAGATGGCTTTGATTAGGAATTCTCTACTTACATTGAATCAAGATGCCTACATGTCTTATAAACACTGAGCAACTCTTCAATCCAACGCAACCACAATGATAGCTAGATTTCCAAATGTGCCGACAGATATTTGGCTTGAAATTACTTGTCTGAGTAAGCACACTATATAAGAAATTTTGATCATTCCAGAATTATGAAAACAGCAACAAAACACACACACACACACACACACACAAAAAAAAAAAAAAAAAAAAAAAAAAAAAAAGGGTTCTAAATTTTATTTTACATATTTACTTATTAACAAAACCCTGGAGTTAATAAAAGCAGCTGAAAGAAGAGTTAAATGAAACTGTCAATTTTTATATGGACCCTTTAATTTTTTTTATTTTATTCGACGCAGAAGCACCGAAATTTGACTAAATATAATAAAGATCGCACTTTATAAAGCCCGAACTGCGCCAATGCCACATTCTGTCACCAAGATTGCTACAGAAGACAAATATCCATATCAGGATATATACTTTTCCTATATCTTGTTTCTGTTTCAGTAACATCAGTATACTGGAAAATCTATTAATTTATTCTGTTAATTAATTAATTAGTTAATATTATACATTAATTTTTTAATTGTGAAAGAACAACAATACCTAGAACAATCAAATTTTGAATAAAGTAATCCTCCACACGAATATGGGACTTGGAAGCCCGGATCTTCAATTTCTATTTTTTTTTTTTTTTAATCTATTGCATATTTTTTAACGAATTTTTGATTAAGAAGTTCAACAGTTTCAAAGCGAGCAGTGGCAATACACTGTACAGAATAAAGCATTTTTATCTCCAGCGCGCGAGACTGTTTATCGGAAATTCTAAAGATATGGATAATTCTAAAAATTCTAAAGATGTTCTAAAGATATTTTAAATATTTTTAGCTCAAATGCTCTTGAAACCTGCATCTATGTCTAAATGACAAAAAACGGCTCTTTAGGGGTAATATAAAATCCGAAATCTTTCAGATTTTTTTTATTAATTTTAATTTTACTTTTTTTTAAATGCAATTTTATTTCCCCATTTGAATAAGGATATGATTATGAGTTGAATTTTAATTTGATAAAACTTCGTAACATGTAGGAAATGTTAATTACAATGTTTTATTTTTATTTTATTATTATCATTTTTTTTTAATTGATGAAATGGTTCGGTACTAATAAATCTCTACCATGATGAGGCATTCCAGTTATAGACTATCATGGCAGGTAGAATGCCTCATCGAAGGCCTAGAAACGGATACCGGGGTGAGTGGCCTCACTCAGAGAAATGGATCCGACGGTCTCCCATCAGTCTTCCCCTACCAGCAAAATCTTGAAAGGGTTTTCGACTCCCCAATATTTTACGTGCTGCCATGTCGCACAGACAGTATACACTTACAAAAAACCCAATACTTCTTCAGGATTGGAGCCCGGGCCCAATGACACAGCAGCTAGCATCGCTAAGCGATTAGGGTGGGGGGCAAACCAGGGCGGGGATTCCTCTAAAAATAGCAAAAGTAGGATTTGTTCTACCTCAGATTTGTAGAAACTAAAATTATAATGAAAAGCATACTTGTGCAAGCGCATACACACACACGAAAAAGTTACGGTGCAGCTGAAATTACGGAATCGAAAACGCTTTAAAAGTTAAACGTCAACATTACTTAAACGCGACGGAATTATATGTTCATTAAATGTAAAAATAATTTACACCTAATAATAACAATGATTTATAAATGTATTGCTAACAATAACCCATTATTTTTAATGTTACAAATTATTTAAAATGCATTACTTGACCGATCCCCCAGAAAAGAAAAGAAAAAAAAAAAAAAAAAAAGCATTCTGTAAGGTGATGAGAAAAGAAGAATGAAGCAAAAATGATTACGGGACGGTAAGCTTTGAAATAGTTAAAAATTAACCGAAATTTCGAATTTTTTTGCTTTGCGCTTGCAATATTCAGCATACCTACAACTGCATCGTACTTAAAAAAAAAAAAAAAGGACTGAAACATTCTAATTTTTAAATAAGTTACGAAAAATAGAAGCACCTAAAACGTGTGAACAGCACGATAGCTGTCCTTTAAATTCCGGAGAAAATATAAAAGCAATATGTGTTAACGGATATCCATTCGTATCATAATTTACATTTTTAACTCTATAACTCTAGCTAGGAATGTCAGTATTACCAAACTGTTAATGAATTTAACTTTGGAGGCTTAAATGCAATGAGCATAGAACAAGAAGAATAGGGGTAACTCGCTCATTTCCGGAATGTTTGATCAACTTCACCTGAACAAAAGAAAAAAGTTTTCCTGCTTGGGGGAAAAAAATAGAAATGTTGGAAAAAAATAGAAAAGGAAACAGAAAATGTGGTAATATACTAGAAGATAGTTTTACTAATACAAAAGAAAGTAAAATATATGATGCCAGTGAGTTTTAGCATTTTCACCAGATATAATCATAAAAGTTTCGTATAAAAAATTTTTTCTATCTATATTTTTCTATCTTTATTTATTTATTTATTTATTTTTGAAGAATACCAATAAGCCTCTTTTGAGAAACATTCTTTTATTATTTCCCTACTTTTGGTTTTTAGGGAAGGGCTCCGGAAAAATTTTGTTACGGACATAAAAATGTAGTAAAGCCAGCCCTGGGTACATGAATTAATTTTTCATAGTGCGAACAGAATTTATTCTTTGAAACTGATAAATTATATTAATGTGATAAAAATAGTTACAAAACTGCAAATGGGACAAATAACTTTTTTAGGAATTTTATAGCCAACTGTTAAACTAGTAAGGGTTTATATTCGTATTCCAGATGTACTATAATTCACATGCAAGCATTTTCATTTGCTGACAATTTATACAAAGCATTATTTTTTTCTCCAGGGCACGTTATTTAAGCGCCAGAAATTTCCTCATCCAGACGGGAAAGGACGCTTATATTTGTGGAAAGATCTAAATCTTGGAAACACTGTCAGAGTTTATGGCGTAACGATTCATCTCACCGACTGTGATCAATGGACAAGAGTGAGATCTTTATTAAATATAGCACGTTATATATATAGCATAGTTTTATATAAAGTTAAAAAAATAGTAATTTGAAACCTTGATCAGTTTGAATGATGAGCATATGTCATAGTTATATAAAAATTAAAATGTATATTTAAAAAAAGAAATAGCACAATAACAAGAATAAGTCCTAAGCTTAAGCATAATGTAATACTTATGATATGAGGAAACATGTTGAAATAATTACATCATTCTTTAGAAGTATTAAAAAATCTGATGTGTACACCACATGACTTCCTTGTACGGAATATTAAATTATACGCATTCGTTTCTTGCATTTCTTTTAAACTTATTGGATTTAATTAAATCTACTTCGCCGACAGCGCATAAACCACAATAGAATAAAGGCATTCTTTAAAATTCACTCTATTTGTTTAACATACTAGCGACACTCTGGCAGTAGGTTCACTTAACAGTATTATATTTCATTCCTATTATAACTCAGAATGCACAAAATGTATATCATTTAAAGAATTATCTAATCGTTGCCACATGTTCTTTTCAAATACTATAATAAAGCTAGAATATCCTTGTTTTTCACAGACGATTGAGTATTTCTCATTCAATTAATTCAGTTTTCACTTCGCGACAAGACAAAAATACATAAAATCTCAAAATATCTGTATTAAAAATATATACTATATTAAAAATTAAATTACTAATTAATTAACAATTAAGTAAATCTTAAACACTTATTGCCTCGAAAAAATTCCAGAAAGGATTAAGCATGATTTAATTCGGCAATAATAAATGAAGGCGTTATTTTTTGTTGTTGCGAAGCTTAAGTCTCTCTAGATTGGCAACAAATCTACAATTCTACTGTTTCAAATGTAAACAAATATGTCCGCCATGTTATTTAAAACTTAACCGCACTTAAACAGCTTTTAAATTGTTGATAATTGTACAAATATTCTTCCAGAATTACGAAAGGCATAAAAACCTTAACCGGAAGATAAGAACAACATAATTCCATCATTTTTTAAAGCAAAAAATGTACAATTTACAAACATGTAAGAGTAAAGAAACTGAAATCACTGTGCCGAGTAACAAAGTGGATATATATATACTAAATATAGTATTTATATACGTTTTGTGCGGCCGATTGCAACCAAAATACGAGGTGCACAGCTACATGTTATAGCAGTCCTATATACAAAATTTCAACGTTCTGAGGCTACTCGTTTTCGAGTTATGCGAGATACGTACGTACGCACGAACGTACGTACGTACGTACGTACATACGTTCGTACAGACGCCACGAAAAATTCTCTTCAGAATTAATTTTAAAGCAGTTTTATAATTTTTTTGGAGGAAACGAGTCTTTTATTCTGTCCTTACGTACAGATATCACGCAAAAACATCGTTAAATTGCATTCGATAGCGGTCAAAATGGATATTTTCGTTGAAATATGCTATCTGAACCTTTTCGCGATTACAATACTTCCTTTTTACTTCGTACAAGGAAGTAAAAAGCACACATAGCACGTTTTACTTTTTATTATTAATTTAAGGTTGTGTCAGTTTAGTTTTAGTTTAACTGACAAGTTATTTTGATTTTTTTGTATCTTTACTGCCCTTTCTGACTTCAGTCACGCAACTCGTTCTTCCCATAAAATTATGCAAGATTTAAGTAGCATGCGTCTGTGTATAAAAGACTTAATCCGAAATCGTAGTGAGTGAGATAGAAAAGGGATTAGAGCTCGGAATATTGCATTAGCAAGTTCAGAGAATGGTTGATGGATAACCTTGCCGGTGTTCAAGAGCGCAGTGGAATAGCTGGTAAGGTGTGATTAAAGTTTAAACGCATTATTATCCGCCATGGAATTGTGGTTCCTGTTATACTGAACTGAACTGTAAATTCAGCGGGCTTAGATTTTATTCCACATTTAATATCAAGTCGAATAGACTGTAATCTTGTAATATGTTTAATTTACGACCTCAAGTAGAAGCCCTGTTCAATCTAATTTCTTTCATACAGTATTTCTGTTTTGATGAACTACACTCCACAAAACCTCGCGAGAAAGATCCTTTTGATACCTGTTAGGGTTCACGCATATCTGTAAGATGATTTTATAACTTGTTCTTATATATAAGAACTTGAAGTTTAATACTGACTGATGGTTAATACATGCCATCAGTCAATGATGTTTGTTAATACTGAAAATATCAAACATCGTTCGATGAATGAGTTCTTGATAAAAGGAGGTATAATATCTACAAATACTCATAAACGTATTATTGCAGTATGTAGCATTATATTATTTCCCTGGGCGGTCCATGAGTTTGCCGCCAGGGGCGGGCTCCGAATTCGTCTCCTCTCTTAACATACAAACATATAACTGTAAAAAATGCCAAAACGACAAGTAAAAATTAAGTTAAACTAATAAATTAAAACTATATGTATTTTATAAATTTAAACTATGCATTCTAATAATTTAAGCTCTGTGGGAAATAAATTAAAACTCTATGCTTATTTTTGAAGGAAAACAATAATTACATCATTTTACAATAATGTTATTATTATTTTGTTTGTTGTTCGCAAAACTACTTATGAAATTTCAGAGATCTGTTTGATTGTTCTTGCTATCATGTAGACAGTAGAGAAAATGTTCTAAATGTAAAATATACATTCATAATTTTTAAATGTTTTTATTTAGAAAGCGCTTCTTACATTTAGCAACACTTAAGCAAGGGAAAGGAAAGTTTGCAGAAGTATTTAGAACTGTGTTCTGGAGATTGTATTTTAAAATAAAATGCAGAAATTAAAAAGGATTACCCTTCCATGTTCCTCTGTCGATTTTCCTAGCTATAACGGATATAAATCTCTGAAATACTTCTTTTTCTTAACGAGGAATTCTTTCTTATTAATAACACCGTGATCATAATTTCGTTCATAATTTGGATTCTAAAGTTTCAACGGAATAAAAAATATAACAAAAATATATAGCTATTGAAATCACGTGGCGTTTCTTTTTTGAATACTTTATCTAGATCACACCAACACTGCTAGTTCAGAACACAGAAATCTGGCTGAAAGATTCCGACCACAAATTTTATGAGTTGAAGAGAGACCACTGGTTGTTAATTATATACCATTACCACAATAACACGTGCTTATTATGTCAAACAGGTGACTGAAGTTCGACAAAACATTAAGATAAAATGCCCTGGAAAATTCAGAAGAAAGTATTACTTTTGTATGGCAACGGCAACTTCCAAGACCATTCTTCTTCCATCGTATTCATCAAACCAGACATCAAGCGACCAAGTGACATCTTTTGTTTCAAAAACTAAGTAGCATTTGCGGTTCATGTTTATAGCACCAATAATGACTTAGAGGATGCCATTCAAGAATAATGTTCCTCCCCTTTTCTTTCGTTTTTGCTGCAATTTGTTGATAAGCGTTTAGATTAGATAATTGATCAAGGCAAAGCATCTCGAATGCTAACTGCTTATAAGAAGTGAGGAATTTTCAAGGAAAATTGACTCATATTCTCTTTATTTATGAGTGAAAAAAACGGCCGCTCTTCGGCGATTTAAACGCTGGTTATTCGAATAGTTCTTCGGCTGAGCTTATTCGAATAACCAGTGTTCAGTGATTTTACTCTTGGCTGCTTGTGGACATCCGTCGATAAGCTGACCACTGTGCCAGGTGCATTCGAAAACTATGGAGAAAATTTTAGATATATTGCTTGTAATGTGTTAGGCTTGAAAAGTTAATGAATGCACCTCCCCCATACACTAAATCCATTGTCTATTTTCAGTCCCGGAAAAACATAATAGCTGAATATATAAATGATTAATCAATAAATAATCAAAACAATTCGGAAAATAATTGAAATTATGACAAAAACTGCCTATAGTCTCCTTTTACAATCGTCTGTGAGTTGAATGCCATTTTATTAGTAAAATAAGTTATTATCATATTTATATAATTCAATGTAATTTGGGAGACATTCCAAAATTTTAAAATAAATTAATTACGTTAACTTTTACAAAACTCGTATTTAGTATTATAAGATAGTTTCTCCCTCCTTTCTGCATACCTTCGTGCTGTAACGGTAGGACACTCGGCGCGTATTCGAGAGGTCCAGATTTGAATCCTGGCGAGGCATTGCTCATTATTCCATGTCTTCTGCTTCAAAATAACCTAATGATTTTACATTTTAATAATTTGCCATCTCAGCTACCGCTATTAATTTATGAATCAACAGAGATATAGATGTACTGCAGTTCACCTGCAGGTATCTAATATTAAAAATGATAGAAACATCCAAATTTCAGCTTCGGCTTAATGTAAGAGTAATCTTATCGGTTACATACTAAGATTGTACATAGATTCTTAAATATACTTTTAGGAAAACCATTCTTGCAAATTTGTTTACTTTTTAATTAACACAATTAAAAGCATTAATGACGTTCGGATATCATTTTCAGGAATACTTAATCAACGCAGGCATAGAGCTTCATGAAGCTGAACCGATGCCTTCTGATCCTCATACGGAAGAGAGACGTGCCATGGAAGGTCGCAAAGAGGTTGTATCTTGCAAAGTAGAAGATGATAAATTATACAAATTTTTAACACGGGACCGCAAGGTACTTCGTTTCTACGGAACATGGCAAGATATACTCAGTGATCCGCCAGAAATGAGAAGGGTAATCTTGCAGGTGAGAAGTCATGTTGTACCTCATAGCTTACTTTCCTTTGCTTGGTTCTATGTAAAATACATTATTACTATTATTAAATCACTACTTCACTATATATATATATGTAATAATAAAATTCCATAGTCAAGAATACACTTAAAATTCTAACTGTATGTTCTTTCCATTTTTAATGGCGACGTTCTCTTATTTGAAAGTACGTGGAATTAAATCCGTAGTCAAGTTGTTTTTCCCGCCTTTTCTACACGTACAGTTTTAGAATGTTCTGGAGTTATTTAAAGCAACTGGATTGGCTGACGAGGCTGACGTCATTTCTTGAAAGCTCCGCCTTTCCAGAGGCTATAAAAAGACTCGCAAAAGAATATCGGGGCTTTTTCTTAAATGTAACTATGCAGTAAACTTCATACTAAAAGTTATAAGTAATTCTTTTTTATTTACAAGTAATTCTTTTTTATTTATAAGTAATTCTTTTTTATTTTATTTTTAAATATGATTTTGTAACTGCTATTTCTCCTGATATAATAAATGGATCCTGTTTTTTAAATTTATCGTCTGATAATTTAAGCTACGACGAAAGCTGTACATCATATATATATATATATATAAGAAGAAGTTTTGAAATATGCATCACGATGAAGGAATTTTATGAAAATAATTTTGATTGAATGAATTTGCAAAATCTTTAGCAGATTTTTTTTTGGGGGGGAGGGGGAAGTAAGGCTGGCGATCAGTTTTCACAGGCATGTCACCATGTAAAATTTTAAAGTTTCGATGCGAAGGAAATCCCTAATTTAAAGAGCATTCAAGGGACCGATGTATGAAGCTATATTCCTAAGCTATATTCATTTAAGGCGGTTTAATTATCTTTTTACGAATTCCTTACTCTGTTATTGCTGTGCTACTTAACGCAGTATAAGCACAGGCTTTGATAAATCGCTACTATCCAGAACGCTAGAGGAACAGATCCATCTTAGAAAGGTTGAAGAGTATATTCTTTTCCTGTTTTCCTGATATTTGACCCTTTAAATGAATTTCAGCGTTTTAATAGATTAATTTCAACAGAAAAAGTATATCTGAAAACTTAATCTATTAAAAAATTTACTTTTGCGCTAATGTATATAGATGCTCTCGCCTTTTTTCTTCAGTTTGTTGAATGCTCATAGAAATAAACATGAAAAAACCTTTTATGAGTAATATTTCACCAAATTTTAGTATTATTTGGCTGATGATACCATGGAGCTACTAGAAGACCATCCACCTAACTGTGGAAGAGATCCGGTCAAAGTGCTGGTTAGGAAGCAGAAGATACCCGTGGATAGGAATGAGTTGTCTGGTAAGTTTAGAAATTTATCTTGCATTAGCAAGCACTTCACAGTTTCAGATATGGATTTTAAGCATGATCGAATATACACATTTTTTTTATTTATTTTTAAAATCTTTACCAACCAATAACTTCTGCTGTCTAATGAAATCAAAAAATTTAAGTTTAGTGGTAGAAAAAAAAAAAAAGATGTTATTGAATAAACATAATTTTATTTTGTTGCTAAACGTAGCCTTTGTGATTATGGGAGCAGTTACTAAACGTATTTTGTTACTAAATCGTAATCTGTTTCGTTAAAAAATTATCGAAGAATTCTGGAAAAATAAATTGCAATACTAGTTGACACTCCTCGAATTTTTAAATACATTTTAATCGCTAAAAGGGGAAAAAATCACGCACATTCATTTTCTAAGTTCTTCATTATTTTAGCTGGCAATTATATAAAATATTTTTGAACTGAAAGATTGTAGTAGAGACAAATCCTGTTCCTTTCTCAGTGTGGTAATCGTAGCATACGTGTGTGGAGAAGGAGGGCCAGCTTTTCCAGCTTTTCGATCCCACATTTATCCTCGAGTAGTACACAAACATTACATGTACTCTGACAATCTGGTGAAGTACCTCATTAGACAGCCAATGTCCACTAGCTGTGCCGCAAAATAATTTGGCGGCTTACAGCTACACTGATGACCTTTTGCAGATTATGACATTGCCTACGATATGACGCGAAAGGGGTGGTTTTTAAGATTTTCATAGATTTTAGATACGGTAGAAGTCGAAACTTCTACCGTATCTAAAATCTATGTTTTTATATAAAAAACATCATATCTATGATTCATCTGTACTTGACAAGGTTAAGTTAAATATTTATTTACAATATGTACAGTTAATTAGTTAATTAATCAACATACGGAAAATTCTACAAATCAAAGGATATGGCTTAATGCGTCATTCCCGTCTAGCATCTAACATCTAGCTAACTTTTACTTCAGGTGAGGGCTCTGCTTTCGCCGAATGACATCATATTTCTCTACGATATTAAGCCGTCCAAGCAAGATTTTGTACGATAACATAATTGCTCAAATATATCAGTAACTTCTACCAGGACTTTCAGTATTCTTATTTGGCTATCAAATTCTCGAAGCCTATCACCAAGACAGCATGTTTGAGATATGTTGGAAAGGCAGTTAAAGCCTTCTCAGAATCCACTGCAAATATTTGTGAAATTTCTGAACGACTAATTAAAGTTCTTATGTTAATTAATTAGTTATGGTGATTTATATAAAATATTACCTAAATATTTTAAGGTTTTCCTTCCACATTCCTCACCAGAAAGCAAATTAGCTTTAACTGTGTTTAAGCTGAGGATTTGGGATCTATATAGAGAGAGAAGCTATGTTGGACTTCTGGCAGCTCTATCGAAATCTTGGCTTTCTAGAAACTAATTGCTTTAAAACTTACCCGCCGAATATAGTTAGTTGAGCCAGTATATAGCTTAGTTTATTGCCTATGCATTCTTATGCTACTTTTATCAGTGCTTAAATTTAAGTATCTGTTATTGATGAAATTACATCGCCACAAGTAGTGTTTTTTGTAGCGTTAAGTCGTACTATTTTAGTTTAATAAGACGATTGTTTAATCCTTTGCTAATCTCTGTGATACTTTATAGTTGTTTAGTAGGGTTGTAGGACTCTAGTTCAAGTACAGCTCAATTACAACCTTACAACTCTTCCAAACAGAGATGTAAACAAATTAACTCTACGTTAAATTAACTCTACGTCACACTCTACGTTAAATTAACTCTACGTCACATCGAATATAAGCTTGTTAGTAAGTTAGAGGAGAAATATTATTTACTCAAATGTAATCTTCATACTGCCACTATTTTTTAGTAAAGCGTTTTACTTTTCTTATTTTCCATCTAAAAGCCGATTAATTTTTACATCCCTTCTAACGATATATCCATATCGAGTTTCACAATTGTAGCTCAATTTCTAATGGGTGTATATAATTCACTAATTAAAATGTTAAAAATGGACTTTGAAAGTCAAAATCCTGCGCTAACGCACTTAAGATTATAAATATAAATTTTAATGTGGATTATCCCCTAGGAAACGAATAGTTAAATTATTTTATATTTAATTATATTTTTATTTATATTTATATTCTGAATTTTATTTTTATTTTTAATTCAAATACATTTTATTACTTTTAATCAAGTTTTCATTTCCACAGTTTAATCCCAATTGCACAAGGAATTAACCTTAAATAAGTTTACTATTCCAAAAGTTTCCAACTATTCATTTCCTAGGGGTAATCGACATTAGTATTAGTAATTAAAATATATATACATTTAAAATAAGACCCCGTTTAACATTGGCGATACGGTCCAATAAGGCCCATCGATAAACGAAGCAGAGCTAAACGAGGTCATCTTAACACGTAAATAATAGGGATAAGCGAAACAGAAGAAAGAATATTTATGAGTTTTTTTTTTATTTTGCAACATTTATTGTTAAATACTCTTTTATTACATTAATTATAAACTTATTTATTGCTAATATCGATTTTTATTTATAAAACTTACATGAAAATGAAAAAAAAGTCCGCGCAAAGAAGTTACGTTTGTGATGAAGAAGATTTACCCTCATTTGACATTCTTTATTTTTTAGTGAAGAAATCATGTTAGCATCGATTGAGCAATTAGTTGTCGATAGTTAGAGATCGCATCAATGACACTTCTTTTTACGTTTGAATGTAATTAATATTTAAATCATTTTGTATAAATTGATCCATAATTTTCGATATGATGGTTATAATGTTTTTTTAGAAAATCTGTTGAAAGTTTCTTATGCACCTTATTTTCAGAAATGCTAATTTCGTTATCTTCGTGCACTTGTTGTTTGACTAATTTTTTAAGATCACCCTTGAAAATCTTGACTGTTGGAAATTTTGACTTGTGCTGTCCTACCTCAGTGGAAGGCTAAACGATCTTTTAATTGCGATTAACCACAGATGGTCATCTCTCTTGTCCCCTGGGGTCTTCTTAACTAGCTTTTTTCTTCAGCCCATAAGAGAGACTTTCACTTTCCTTACCAAATGCTCTTCCTCATTTATTTCATTTTCATTAACGACGATGTGGAGAAAATTGCATTTAATTGCGAAGGTACTCCGTAATCAGAATGTCTTTCCGTTGGAAAGACTTTCACCAGTTGTAACTTGAAATAATTCTTCAGTATCCTACGCATTTATATTATTTAACTCTGTTTTATGAGCTAATCACTTCATTATAGGAAAAATTGATATTTTCTACAGTACCCATGATACAGCAGTTTCTCCAAAAATCTGTAATGGATTGTTTACCTTCTCTATCGGTGTTTTACTTCTTTGTACGAAGTAAAGAAAGCATTGTAATCCCGAATCATTAGTAGTAGTATCAAAAGTATTGTAATCGGGTTAGTATCATAGTTCAACAAAAATATCCATTTTGACCGCTGTCGAATTCATTTGAACCATGTTTTTGCGTGACATCTGTAGATACGGACAGAATAAAGGACTCAATTTCTCCAAAATAAACAGTCAAATGGGGTTAAAATACATCTATAAGAGATTGTTTTCGTGATGCATATATGTATCGCTCATAACTCAAAAACGAATAACCGTAGAATGTTGAAATTTTGTATATGGGACTGCTATAACATCTAATTATGCATCTCCCTTTTTCGTTGCAATCGGTCGCACCAAACGTTTATATATGTATTCCCACTCTGTTACCTGGCTCGATGAGCTCAGTCTCTTTACTTTCTTGTACGAAGTGAAGGAAGTATTACAATCACGAAAAATTCCGGGTACCATATTTCAACGATAATATCCATTTTGACCGCTATCGAATGTAACTTAGCGATGTTTTTACATGACATCTGTACGTAAGGACAAAATAAAAGCCTCTTTTCCCCAAAAAGAAGTATAAAACTAATTTAAATTCCAAATTTGAGATCTTTCTGTGTTACATAACATTGCTTGAAAAATGAAACTAAACCCCAAAATTAACCAATCATAGCTTGTCTCTACAATTGCATCTACTTTGGTTTAAATACCGCTGGCGAGTAAATTACGTCATTCTTTTTTCGCCTTGCTAATATCTGTATGCTGCTATGCCTTCTTTTATTCTTATCCTAAGATGATATAACGTGCATAAAAAATATTGTAATTGCTTATGATCTAGAAATATCTTATCAACTAAGAAATGATTTGATGTGCTTGAAAATAAAGATTAGTGATTTATCAAAAGCCAATTGCTTTATCTTCGTCAGTACGCATTCAAACCCCCGCCATGACGACTGCAAGCTGATTCTTCCTACGCATTAAATCATCACACACATGCACACACATATATATATCAAGGAGGTTAGAATAGAAGGAGGGAAGGTTCAACTCACACGGTGAAGCTTGGCGGCCATGTTATTGTGACTTGTGGCAAAGAAGTCTGTAATTGCGACATTTTTTTTCATTTCTTTTTTGAAGCATGTCAGCTTGTGTTGCATATGGATGCACAAATAGATTTTCGAAAAAGATTTCTGGGATTACTTTTCACGCGTAAGTATTGATTTCCTTTTTTTATGTAATTTGATAAATATGTTAAAAAATATCACAATGTCATGTTGTTTTCTTTCCAGATTTGAAAAAAAAAAAAAAAAAAAAAAAATCTGAAATGTTTCAGATTTTAAATTACGTCCAAAGGGGCGTTTTTTAACATTTTGTGTGTTACCTTTCTTTATTAAATATCATGTTCCTCGCACTTAAACCATAAGATCCAGTGCAACAGCAATATCGCAAATAGTTTTAAAACGAGCATATCTTTAGAATTTCCGATACAGAGACTCACGCGCTGGAGATAATAAAAATGTTTTTTCTGCACAACGTTGCCATTGCTCGCTTTGAAATCCTTGAGTTTGTTAATCAAAAATTCGTCAAAGTTTTAAAAAATAGGAAATCGATCATAAAACAAATTTCAAATTTCAAATTTGGTCTTCCACATGCTCATATTCGTTGGAGGATTACGTTATTCAAAATTCGATGACTCTATGTACCGTTATTTTATGACAATGTGAGAAATATACATACATTTATGCAGATTTTCATTATTTAATTTCTTCAAATATAATGCAGGACTCTAACATTTTATGGCAACAGTTTGAAAAGTGAACCGACATTTATCCGTCCGACGCAAAATGCCAAAACGAAACTAATAGTCCTTCGGGATTCAAATCCCTTTGGACTAAAAAGAAAAAGAAGACTTCATAATAATCCAAATATGTTAAATACATTTTAATGTTTCTGTTTATAGCTGTTATCTTCGTTCCTTAACATACAATGATATATGCAAGGATTTAAATTGTATAATTTGAACGTTTTAGGTAATTCGTTTTATAATTTTCATGGAAAGTAAGAAATCAATTGTTACTATTTTTTGAATTGTAGAGGTATTAAATAAAGTAATACTTTTATTTATGTATTAATTATTATTCCCTTTTAAGTTTCGTGAACTGTTATGAATATAATTTGTGCATTTGATGAAGATAAACTGTTCTGTTGTTAAAAATTGTTTGCATAAACTTACAAATTTCTGGGCAGTATAACGATAAAAGTAAGTAAAATATTAACACAATTGAACATATGGAAAGATGTATCCAAGAATTTTATATAGGTATATTTTCTGTATTTCAGCTTAATTCAAGGCAATTTCTATGAGATTCATAAATATGAAGCACGGATAAAATGATATCATTAAATTCACATAAATCTGTTTTATTTTATTAATATTTATTTTCTTGTTGTTGGCTCTGACAAAGATATATTTAAAACTTTCATTTTAAGAAAATGCAACCTGTGACTATTTTTTAGATAATTATTGCTTAAATATGTGAATTTCTGTTTTAGTGTATTTCAGCTTAAATCTGGAGTATTTGAGCATACTAAAATAAAATAACTTTCTTTTCTATCTCTTAAACTGTATATGAAATAATTCTTCAATAAATTATGATAATATTGTGAATAAATCAGAAATAACACTTCTTAAAGGAAAAACTGGAAAAGTACACCAACAGGTTGCTAATAAAACCTAAACAAATCCTTGAAATATACAGAACATTTTTAAAGGATTTAATGTTATACACATGCATTTAGATTTCGAACTATTTCTTAATAATTTTCTGTTCATAGTAAATTATGGATATCATCTTTATTACTTTAAAACAAAAGTTTAACAATAGCGAAGCATTTCATTATAAATTTAACATATTTTTACTGGAAATTACATGCGCGAAACAGCTTAGAAACATGTATGTTTCACTGCCGTAATGCAATGTATTGAAGTTACAAACAAGGACGCCGCTTGTTCGGTGGAGTTTCACTCCCCGATAGCGGATGAAACTGCGAGCCCCCATTCCTTCTATTCTAACCTCCTTGATATATATATAGATAACCACTCTGTTACTCAGTTCATTTAGTTTTTTATTCTTATATGTTGGTAAATTGTGCATTTTTTGCTTTTAAAATCATTGAATTATGTTGTTCTTAGCTTCCGGTTAAGGTTTTATGCCTTTAGTTAACTTCCTCGCAATAGTTGTAGAATTATCAACAATTTAAAAGTTGTTTAAGTGCGGCTAAGCCTAAGGTTTTTTTTACCATAGCAGCCATATTTGTTTACATTTGAAACTTAGCAGAATAGTGTGTTTGTTGCCAATCTAGAAAAACTAAGCTTCACAACAACAAAAAGGTAACGCCTTCTTTTATTACTACATATTAAATCATGCTTAATTCATTCTGGAATTATTTAAATTATTAAATTATCTCATATGTTGACTCAGCGTCCACAACAAATTAAGTCAGTTTCTACGCCTTCAATATCTTTTTGCCGAGTGAGACCAAAAGTAAACTTTCAGTTTTGTGCACTGAAAAATCTACCTTCTTGCCCGCTGGCCGAATTGCTTGTTTTTGTGTAGAAACTCTAATTTTAATTGTAAAAATTGTTCTTTAAATTGTTTTAATTTATGTTTTATATTTTTTCAATTTTTAATAAAGATATTTTGAGGTTTCATGTATTTTTGCCTTGTCACGAAGGGAGAACTGAATTAATTTAATGAGAAATATATCTATAATGAAATTCGAGGAAATAAGTTTAAACGAAATACAGGAAAAAAGTACGTAAAATTGAATATTCCGTACAAGGAAGTCATGTGTTATACACATCAGATTTTTTATTCTTATATGTTGGTAAATTCTGCATTTTTTGCTTTAAAAAGTGATTAAAATCTGTTGTTCATATTTTCCAGGCAAGGTTTTTATGCCTTTAGTTAATCTGCATCCAAAGTAGTTTAATTATCAACATTTTAAAGGTTTAAGTGGCGCTAGACCTAACGAGGCCGCCATTTATTTACATTTGAGACTCTAAGTAGAATAGTGAATTAAGTCAATTAGTGCACCAACTTCAATGTCTTTTTGCACAGTGGGATTGAAAGTTAAGTTTCAGTTTTGTGCACCGAAAATTTTTGTTTTTGCTTAGAAACTCTAATTTTAATTGTTATTAAAAAAAAAAAAAAAAAAAAAAAAAAAAAAAAAAAAAAAAAAAAAAAAAAAAAAAAATAACTGTTTTAACTGTATTCGGTGTTTTAGGTTTTTCTGTATTTTACAATTTTTAATGAAGATGTTTTGAGTTTTTAGCTATTTCTACCTTGCCGCGAAGTGAGAACTGAATTGATTTAATAAGAAATGTATCTTTGATGAAATTCGAGGAAATAAGTTTAAATGAAGTGCAGCAAAAAATTTGTATAATTGAATAGGCCGTACAAGGAAGTCATTTGGTGTTCACGCAATATTATTGATTATATCACATATTTTCAATTAGGTGTCGGAATGTCAGTCGCAGATAATAAGCTGTAAAACTAGAAATTATACCTTTGTACAGTGGTTGGATTCACGAAGTTATGTTTGGCGGTGAGAAAACCACTTATGCATTCCAGAAATGCAAGCTGTTAAAATGGAAAAATCCATTGGATAACTTTATTTAGAGCGTTATCGAACAAAACTAAAGTTTTCGGTTTTAGTTCTTTAAATTCGCAATAGCATTCAACAAATGGCAAAAGTCTTCGGTAAACCAATTCTCGAATATTTTTTTTGGACTCCAAAATTACTGAGTTTGAAATATCCTTTAATACGCTTGGGGTTTTGAAATGATAATTAATCACCCGATTAGGAGTGTTTAACAGTCTTTTGCATCTTTAAATCCTGAACTAACCCAGCAACACCGATACCTCGTTAGTTTCAGGGAATCCCAATACTACCGTGTAATACTGAAACAACGTTCAACAATAAACGGGGTTTTACTACAAATATATTGCAATAGAGTGTATTTTAAGAAAGTTTCAAATTAAATGCTGTTGAGTAAAAGTATGACAAGCTCATCTTTTGTTCACGAATATTTAGTTGAACAGCTAAAGTATTATTTGTTTCAATGGGTTATTCTCACAAATTCCATATAAAGATGCAAATTTAGTTTAATAATTTAGTATGTTTATAATTCCCAAGAGTAAATTATGAACATATCGAATATTTGTCCTTCGAACTGAAAACTACTTCTTGCATGTGTGCTTTTCGGTGTCTCATATAAATTTTGAAGAAATAGATAGTTTTCAAGTTTCGAATGAATTGCAGTAACTCCTTTGATCTTTTGTCACAGCGAACTTCCCTTTGAGCTACATGGAAATAAAAGACGAAGACCTCAGATGGTTCCAGCCGGATGACTTTCGAACAGGGAAAGATGTTATAATTTTGGGTAAAAAGATTTTTCTACATGACTGCGATGAATTCACAAGACAGTACTACAAAACTCACTATGGAGTGGAGGATATGGAAAGCATAGCGGTTGCTGAAAAACCTAAACCTCAACCACCAACAGTAAGTTAATTGGAGTATAAGAAGAGTTTAAGGTCTTTAGGATATATTAGGAAGACGTGGGCTCCAAAAGGGATCAATGGGGAAATATTTTTAAATATTAAAAGAAAAGGGTTATATCTCAAACAGATTTTTCACAAATCCACAACAAATAATCAAGACTGGAATTATCGAATTACTCAAAGTTTTAAAACTCAAATCTAAATACGCGATATAATAGCTCTTGAAATGCTTTCATTGCCTTAAATTACACGCGAATAACATCAAAATGTTAAGTACCTTATAGGGAGAAAATCAAAACAAAGTAAAATTTAAAATTGGCAGAAAAGGAACCTAGTTTGACGTAATTTTTTTTCTCCTGAAGAAAAAAACATATGTTAGATGGCCTCGAAATCGATAAGGTTTTATTTAAAATCTACGTCAATCTAAGATTGACTTTTGCCCAGTTTTAGATTTCTATACGATTCAGAAAAATGCAGATTGGCTCAGAAATTTATAATTATTTCTAACTGATAATTTCTCTATATGTATCACTTGTAACTGAAATTCCAAAAGGCTTCACTGTAAACTCTATGGGAAGACTCATGCATATCAAAGGTTATGCAGTAAACTCGAGAGTATCTGTAATGAGAAAAACGTTTAGGAAAAATCAGCACCTATCGTGCAATAAAATAGGTGGTGACACTCATAACGTCAATGACAATATATAAGGTCTATCGAAAACGTTTCAGGTGAAAAAAATGCTACGCAATATTGGATTACCTTTAAAAAGTGTTTTCTCCCACGTATTGTTCCCCCCTTCCCCCAAAAAATTTTTGATCAGCTCAAATTTGCTAATAGCATTAGCATTCAGAATAAAGGAAAGCAGATGATCATAGAAAGTATTTGAACGTAGAATAACTCTAGTAAAGGAATAAAAAAAAATAGTTTCATGAATTATTGTGTTGCAGAATAGTTAGTACGATCAATTTAGTACGAGAATATTCAGACTCGTATTTCTGCAAAAAAAAAAAAAAAAAAAAAAAAAAAAAAAAAAAAAAAATTAAATAAAAGATGCATTTCAAAATATAGGATTAGAATAGTTATCTGAACAAAGCTTTTACTAATCATGGATATTTTCCGGGATATCATGGAAGATTTAACATAAAACACTGCACATATCTGTGTTATAAATCGGATGCCCGATGTTATTAATATTTTTCTGGAATTATATCCGCTTCAAAGCCTATGGAGAAATTATATTCTGCGGTAATGATATATGATAATCCTTAGAAATATTTAAGTTTGAACTACAAAAGAAAAGATTTCTAGCATAAATATAAATATCTTGTATTTCACTAATGATACATATTAGTTGAAGAATAAAGAACTCTGGTTATGGCAGATATAATTCTTTTTTACTGAATTTTACTCTGCTTATAGTATTTTTAAGTTATGTCATACGTTTCAGAATAATGTTGGGCCAGCTGAATTCCAGATTTGATGACACCGCCACAAATTTTCTAATCAGTTTTGCTTGATGCACCTCTAATTCTCTATAAGAAGTCTATATTAATCCCTAGGAAACTTAAATGGAAAGAAAAGTTGTATACATTTGTATTATTTGCAGATGAAGGTTTGAATCAAAAGCAAGTATCCACTTGAGTTTCCTAGAGTACAGCATTTTGAAGTGACGAGTGTTTAAAATGGAACCTGCAGGCGTCTGAGATACTGCAACTGCAGAAAACCAAAAATCCTACCTCAACACTGAAAGTTTACGTAGCAAAATCAACATAATCTCACAAGAAACTGCGTAAACTGTGTGATGATTAGGTAGTGGATTGCAGTACTGTACTGTGTCATTCGTTTTCTTGAAGGACACTTCAAGCGTATAAGACGAATGTATATCAGGAAGTCGAGAAACTTTAATAGAAGAAGCAAAGTTAACACTTGTGCAGAGCTAGAAAGGAAGAAAATCGTCGAGAAACATACGAGGGAAATGTCACAAATTACATCAGTATACCGTATGACAAAACGTTTGCAGAAAAGAAAAGCTCGTACCCGATAGACCCTCACTGTTGGATGTAAGATTACTGAAACGAAGATTTCATATTGAAGGTGGAAGTTCTCTGCTTCAAATAATCGCAACTGATGAAATATAGATTAGAGGCTGTGAACCTAATTCAGAGTTGAAATCTTTATCCATCCAGTGAAGCAAACTATCCTCTTCAAGATTCCAAAATTTGACAGGCATCATTTTAGGCAAAGTAAATGATAAACTTCCCCTAAGATTACCAAGGAGTCATCTTGAAAGTTTAAGTTCACGTGAAAAGTATGTTTATAGCTTACTACTGTGAATGACTGCGAAAGTTGCGCAGAAAAAGGCACAAAACCGACCTGACTTAACTTACGGACGAGCAATTCATTCTTAATACTAATGCTTACTTGTGTCGGAAGGTTGTGACACATCTGCTGACGAATTGCGAACAAAATGTTTCATTTCATTTAGCATACAATCTACATATAGCTCCGCCACATATAAATTTATTTCCAAATCCAAGCAAACTCTGGGCAGACAATGTTTTTACTTCTCTGAAAGAGGTCAACGGTCACTTAAGCCATTCGAGGCCTGAATAAAAGTACTGGCCTAGAAGGAGGGCTCTTCTTTGAAAATACTAGATGGTAGTTGTTTGTTGAGAAGCAAGGGGGCTGCATAGAAGGAATGCCATGAGAAACTGCTTGAAATAAAATAAAACTGAGGGGGGAGGGGGACTTTTATCCCCTGCTCAGGTTTACAATCAATTTCATAGAGTGCATTCCATTTTAAATAAACATCATATTTGCATTTTGTGACATTCCGATCTGTCATAAACCTAAGACGATCATGTTAATAATTTGTAGAAAAGGAATTATTGTTTTACTCTATCGACTATCTGTCAATTAGTGCACAGCCATGAGTTTGGAGATTAAATTAGAATATGCAAAATATAATTTTAGAAATAAACTACTGATCAATAAAGAAGTCTATTGCTACCTAATTTCTGCTTGAAAATTCAGTTATATTTCAAAAACAAAATTAGTCATTTGCAAGCTAACGAAAGCCCGCTCCCCCATGCAGTTCGCGAGCCGAGCTGCGAAACACTACTGAATATAATAAAGCTTGGGTTGTTGAAAAACAATGTTGAACATGATAAGGAACATGATACAGAAAAAGCTAATAAACTGTTGTATTTGTATTCATAATTTTTAGTTTTGTAATCTCAGAAAGCGATGTCATATTTTTCTATAGTTTAAGAAGAAATTTGTAAATGTGCTAAATTATGACAATTAATGGAAATGAATAGAAAGCAACATAAATATAAACGAAAATGAAGTATAACGATAATAATATGGCATAAAAATCATGTAAAAACTAATGTCTAAAATAATTTAAGCAAAATAATAATAATCTGACTTTTCACTCCAAAACTGAATCTTTTCATTTCGATTTATGCAAAAAAGTGAAAATCTTTTAAGTTTATAATTGTTCTTATCTTTTATTTTTCTTTTGCTAGATATTTCCTCCTCATACAGGAATTGGAACGTGGGACGATTCTTTACAAAACTGTCTGCACATCATTCCAAAGCCCGTAAAGAAAGATTTATTAAAAGAACTTCATTTCGACGGAATAACACTACGTTTTAAAGCCAGATTGGTAGGCTTTCTATGAATTAAAATGTTTGAAATTGTTTAATAAGCTGATGCACATGATGCTCTAAGTGTTTATTAAATACAATACTATAATATTTTTTGTCGTTTGGAAATATTATAAAATATACAAGATGATTAACCAAATAATAATTTAAAAGGTAAATCATTAGATTAAATTTATTCAGCATGAAGTTTGGAGCAAAGTTTTCTGTTTTCAGGAGTCAAAACTAACTTCAGTAGATAAACTAATTCAGTATTCTTAATAATAATTTAAAAAATTCTGTGGTTCATATATTCACTATATAAACAATTCTTTACGTTGCAAAATCAAAATATTTAATATTCCAAAACAATTCTTCGCTTCCTTTCTCACACATACAAAATCCAGCATAATAACAATAAAAATTTTAAGAATGCGTATTTTCTAATAATGCATTTTGGAAAAGCAAATTCTTTGGTACAAAACGAAACAATATCAATTCAATAACTAATTCAATAGTCACTATAGTGTTTTTACTGTTGTTTCCAACGAGCAGAAGTATAAAAAAAAAATATGATGTGTACACCATATGACTTCCTTGCACGGAATATTAAATTATACGCATTTTTTCTTGCATTTCATTTAAATTTATTGAATTGAATTAAATCTCTATCGTCGATAGCGCATAAACCACAATAGAATAACTGCACTCTTTAAAATTCACTATATTTGTTTACCACAGCGACACTCTCTGGCGCTAGGTTCACTTAACAGCGTTACATTTCGGCCATATTATACAACTATGTCTATGTCGTCTATGTCGTAACACAATAAGAGGCATTCGGCCTGGTGCGGCCTTTACCAATATATTATAAGTAGGGTGTCTTTAATGATGAGTTGAATCCGGTAAGATGGAACGTACTTTTTGCACCTAGTGCAGAGTCTCTAGAAGAGAAGTAAAGGTGGCCTCACGATGTGAGGATCTGCATCTTGAGGATTTCTGCCGCTCGGTTATGCTTCTCTTGAGAGAAGGTGCAAATCTTGATCTGCAAACTTCAAAATAATCTCGATGGCTTCAAAAGCTAGACAAAGTTTCTGCATATTTGATTTAGCTTATTTAATTTTTTGAGCTATTGTGGTTATTGATTTCATGAGACAAAGGGTTTTCTGATCTTTGAAAATGTTAATGATTTCTGCTAAATTTTCCTGCGGGTTTTTCTGCTTAACTTATCACTGTAAAGGTTTTTTTCTTGATTAAAGCTTGTGAATTCAGTCATCTTGTGGCTTGTTTTTTCTAGCTTCTTTAGATGACTGATTTTTTTGGTTTACCTTACAATCATAAGAAGAAGAACGTGATTTCGTGACATAAATGCAAGGTGGTTTTCATCTGGTCATAATTTACAGGTATTGGATCTGTGATTTTGTCCGCATTTACAGCACCTGACTTTTTTAAAGCAGATATTTTGGGAGTGCCCGAACTCCTGGCAATTGAAACATTGAATTGGGCGTTTTCTGGGCTGATATTTTTCTATTGTGATATTGAATCCGAACATACTGCAGAATTTCGTTTTAGTTCAAGGAAAAATATAGGTAAACAGATAATTTGGTCTTCTGCTTTCTTCGTGAATTACTTTACTTTAATTATAGGGAAGCTTCTGCATTCTAAGTCTGCGTGAATTGCTTGCTCTGTGTAGGATCTTGGGATATTCTTAAGTATAACTTTAATTAAAGAGACTGAGGAAATTTGGTACTATGTGAAACTAATCTGTGCTTTGGAATTTATCAACTGTAGCTTAATTATCTCGGTGGTAGTGTAAAGGAAAATCTGTATGGCTTTGATGGTACTTCAAATTCGTTTTTTACATGTCTCACAAAAATGATGGGACACTTGTGCTTACAAAAGGAAACTGCAGTAAAATAAATTAAAAAAAAACAAAAAACTTTTTGGTGTGTGTGTTTCATACTTAATTTAGTAACAATTATTACATAACATACATTTTCTCAAAATATTAAATATTAATTTAATAAAATACAATTGTTTAGAACGGAGCAAAAAAAATGGCTCACATAAGTGATGGGACACTTACTTTTCCATCAAATATTTATCCAAATTTTACTTTTTAAAAGGTTTTAATATTTTGTTGGATTCCTTTACTTTTAAAACATTATTTCTTCTTGAGGTGGATTCGACTAATTTTTGTTCGATTTTTTGTGAGTGATTTTACCCCATTCTTCTTGAAGCACTGATTTTAATTGTTGTTTTGAAGAAATGGTGTGTTTGCGAATTCTTGATTCCAATTCTTGCCAAATATTCTCGATGGGATTTAAGTCTGGAGATTATGGTGGTGTTTTTATTATTTCAGGACAGTTATAAAGCAGCCAGAGTCTAACGTTCAAAGCAGTGTGCCTGGGGTCATTGTCCTGGTAGAATTTAAAATCGTTATGAAGGTTCAATTTTCGTGCTGAAGATTTCAAATTTTGATTTAAAATGTCAATATATTTGTACTATTCATTATACGTCAATAAAACAAGATTGACAACTCGCGGAACATACACCCCATACCATAACTCCTCCTCCACCATGTTTTATTGTTGGCACCAAGTTCTGTTTGCGAAATTTTCCTGGGTTTTCTCCACACCCCAAGATTTCCCATCAGACCAAATATATTAAATTTACTCTCATCAGCAAATATAACTCATTCCAGTAATCAGAATTCTTTATTTATGGTGGATTTGCGAAAGCCAGTCTGAGTTTTCTATTCTTTTCACGAAGAATTTTTTCCTGGCTGCTCTACCGGATATCCAGCCGATCGGATTACTCTTCTAATAGTCTCAGAATTAACAATTACTCCATGTAATGCTGTAAATCAGCAGCAACTTTAGGAGTACTCATTCTTGGATTTTTTTTTAATATTTCGAACGATAATTCGCTTTATTTCATTGGATAGCTTTGATGGTCGGCCAGTCTTCCTTTATCCTGAATCATATTATATCTTTTTATATCGTTTAATATTGAAAACTGTTGAATGACTCAAGTTAACTGTTTCAGCCAGTTTCTCTAATAGATTTTCCACGTTCACTATGCAAATTAATACTAATTTTTGAATTTCAGGCAAAGTTTCTTTTCGTTTAGCATTCATGGCTGCACAGAGCTAAAAACTTTCAACAACAACACTGGAGAGAAATACTGCAGACGATTTTATAAATTATGCCAATTGCTTTTGAGTAAAATAAAACCCCAAAAGATATTTTCATTGCTTACTTCAGACGATTTTTGTTGCATAATACGTAGTGTCCCATCACTTATGTGAGCCATTTTTTTTTGCTCCGTTCTAAACACTTGTATTTTTATTAAATTAATATTTTAATAAAGGTATGTTATGTAATAATGTACTAAATTTAAGTATGAAACACACCCACAAAAATTTTTCCATGTTTTTTTAATTAATTTTATTACAGTTTCCTTTTGTAAAGCACAAGTGTCCCATCACTTTTGTGAGACACTGTATTTCTCTGAGCATTTTATCTATTTCAGGTCAATCAACATCGTTTCCTGGAATGACTAATGCGGGAATTTTCGTTTTATTTTCTGCGTTATTCTGTGTTGTAGTCGTCTGCGTTTCATCTATAACTTCCATAGCTTCGTTATTTTCGTTAAGAGTTTCAAATCTGTTATTTTGCGGAATATGTGGTGGTGGGATAGACTCGGAATTTTTCGCTGTTTTCTTTGGAGTTTGCCAATATGTCTGATTTATTATTTTATCATCTGTTTTAGAATTTGCGAGTTTCGGGGTGTTCTGAACATTTGCTAAAATGAACTAATTTTTTTGAATTTCATCTTGTAACTTTGAACACATTTCTATCGCTGGTGGGGAGGTTAATGTCTTCATAGACTCAATACAATTTAATTGATCGGCGATTTCGTTTTCTAATTTGAGTGAGAGATCTTTTGGGTTAGTCGGAAGCTGAATATTAAGATATTCTTGCGAGATAGCTTCTGTTAAATTAGAAAAAACTTTTCTGTGTTTGTTAACTACTGCTTCAAAATTTGAAGGAGAGGGTTTGAATTTCTTAGTATTATCGGCTATTTTCTTAGGACTTCCTGCGGTTTTCTTTTCTTTTCTCTGGGATTTATTTTTCTTAAAAGAAATTAGAGTAGCAATTATACTTTGAAGCGCCGGGTCATCTGAAGCAATTACAAGCATCCATATTATAACTCAGAATGCATATCTATAATTTATATTATTTGAAGAATTATCTAATCGATGCCACATGTTCTATTCAAGTACTATAATAAATCTAAAACGATGTATAAAAGAAATCAAGCAAACAAAACAAAAAAGAAATAGTTTTTCACAAACGATTCAGTATTTCTAATTCAATTAATTCAGTTCTCATTTCCCGACAAGGCAAAAATACATAAAAACTCAAAATATCTCTATTAAAAATTACGAATTAAATCTGAAACACTTATTTTTTCGAATAAATTCCAGAATGGATTAAGTATGATTTAATTCGCAATAATAAAAGAAGGCGTTATCTTTGTTGATGCGAAGCTTAGTTTTTCTAGATTGGCAACAAATCCGCTATTTTGCTAAGTTTAAAATGTAAACAAACATGTCCGCCATCGCAAAATTCATTAGGCTTAGCTGCACTTAAGCAACTTTTAACTTGTCGATAACTCCACAAATACTGCATGCAGATTTACTAAAGGCATAAAAAACTTAACCGGAAGATAAGAACAACATAATTCAATCATTTTTAAAGCAAAAAATGCACAATTTACAAACATATAAGAATAAAGAATCTGAGCTCACTTAGTCGAGTAACAGAGTGGATATATATATATATACTTTTGGTGCGGCCGATTGCAACCAAAATACGAGGTGCACATCTAACATGATATAGCAGTCCTACATACAAAATATCAACGTTCTAAGGCTACTCGTTTTTGAGTTATGCGAGATACGTACATATGCACAGAAGCCACAAAAAATTCTCTTCAGAATTCATTTTAAATCAGTTTTATAATTTTTTTTGGAAAAAGAGTCCTTTATTCTGTCCTTACTTGCGGATGTCACTCAAAAACATCATTAAATTGCGTTGGATAGCGGTCAAAATCGATATTTTTGTTGAAATATGATATCCGAAATTTTTCGCGATTACAATACTTCCTTTTTACTTCGTACAAGGAAGTAAAAAAAAAAAAAAAAAAAAAAGGGGGGGGGGAAGTTTTTAGTAAAATTCCTAAACCTGGCACAAAGAGTACGCAAAAAAGAAGCATTAAACATCTGTATTAAATAACCAGAATTCTCACTAAAGAATTATTTTTAATCAATATCTTATATTTCTTTCAATGAACCTAGTTAACGAGTACAATCTACGCCAATCACCAAAGTGATTAAAATTTACGCTGTTCTTTCAGTATTGCAAAGAGGAACACTTACGGTGAAAATTATTCCATTTAAACAGTATGGTTGTACATTTTTCTTATTTTTTAAACAAAACCAAAATATGTAAAGTATTTTTGGTTCAGATTCTATTGTACGATTTAATAAAGATTTCATTTTATTTTCTGTTAATAGACAGCAATGAACCTTTCAGAGGAAGTATGAGCAAAGAATTTTTCTCATGCATAAAAATAATCTGTGAAGCTCTTTAAACGTAAACCAAGCTGAATGTATTTTAATCCTTTTGTGGAGATACTTAACGCATATCCATCTCCTCAGTTAAATTTTCATTTTTTCCCTTTCCGTTTTAAAAGGCATAATATGACTTGCCACGAAATTGCCTGACAGACTTGCACTGAGCATGATTTATCCATAACAGATCTATATAATTGATACATAAGATAATACCTTACATTAAATTTCAATGATTGTATCAATTTAATACATAAATATGCATATCATTATCTATTACTGTTAAAAAATGAAAAAATACCATTATGTATACTTAAGTTCTTTCCTCATTTTACTAGGCTATAATCCTCTAGTAAGCATGAAGTTTTTAATTTATATTCGAAATTCACATTGTAAATTCAAAACATAACTCCAACATTTTCTTATTAATAGAACAGACACAAACAGTAATAATGCAGTATATCTTTTAACATAGTTGTCATTATGCTCAATGTTGGTATGCTAGGGCATCACTGAAACACAAATTTACGAAGAAATAGAATTCTTGTAATTGATTGCACAGCCAAATAGGCGACTTATTATTATTATTTTGTTTTATTTTATCATAGGTATTGATTATCTTAACAACGAGTGCTGTGTTGAGGAGTCTAAATACACGGTAATTCCTTGGTCGAGAACCGATGAATATGCAAGATCTAGAATACAGTTTTGAAATGTAAATATGGGATATTCTTATTACCACATGAGCCGGCTGTAAGTAAGCGGGCGTAGTGATGATGCAGCGGCATACTAAAACAGAGGATATCGCGAAAGTTTGACCCTCTGGGCACTTTAAGTGGTTCTGAAATAGATTACAACATGATATGTCACGGATAACTAATCCTTTGAGCTTATACAAAAGTTTCAGGACTGGGTTTTGAGGTTTCAGAAGAATTTCTCATGCAGGCTACTCGAGTTGATGGATTAAGGCGATGCTAAATTGAGGTATATCTTACAGACTTGCTTAACCTTGGCTGGAGGTAGTGTTCATAGCCCATCAGTATACAATAAAAAAAAAAAAATTTTTTTTTCTACATCTTCGTAACATTATAACAGTATTTCACTCCCATCCCTATGGAGTTTTTTTCCGTTTTGGGTGAATTGTTCTGATAAGCATATAAGATTTGTAATAATGCAGTATATCTTTAAAGATGTATGTTGGGCCTGCCTTTTCTTCTATTACTTCTTTTCAGTTATGGCGTCAATTTTCATATGCCTTTTTCTCGTATCATTCAATAGTTAAATCATTGGGCATATTTAGAGTTTTAAATGAGATGCATTCCGTGTCATTACTTTGGTTTCTAACCATCCAATCGGATAACTACGTATATACACGCTACTCTTTTATTTGAGCCTATTGGTTACAGCAAGCCAAATAGCTTAGAATACGTGTATTACAACAAATCATTACATAATTTTGAGATTTTTTATCAATATATTAGATTTACTTTTTGACTTAGCTTCGCGTCTACATAACATTTTAATTTCCTTAGTTAAATCTATATTAATTTGTTTAATAAAATAGATGATTAATATTAGAATAAGTTACCCATAAAAATATCATTATACATCTAATATAGTATTATGATTAATTTTCTATTTGGAACTGAGTTTTGAAACTATATCCAGGTATCACCAATTGAAGACGACAAAATTCGGCGATTTTTAATTACGTTCTTTCCAAGCGATGACGCTGTGGCCATCAACGAAGAATCAATTCCAAACTCAGGATTTCCTGGAGGTTGCTTTTTGAAAAGAAGCAAACTGCCTGTTCTCCAAGGAAATGCGAGTGTTAAACCCGTTTACTACAAGGCTGATGATTTTTATGTAGGAGCTCAAATACGAGCTTCGGGGAAGCTATTCGAGTTGATCGATGCTGATCACTTCGTGCTCACCTTTATGGAACAACACCCTGAATTATATTCTGGTGAGAATAACATAATTTAAATACTCATAATTAAAAAAATAATAATTTAAATGTTGGAACAGCAAAGATATTTCATAATGTAAAGCAATTATAAAAAATTTTTATATTACGAAAAAAAAATAATCTTTGCATTTTATCTCAATCACTTTCTTTCAATAAGTTTCTAAATTTTGTCGGTTTTTTTAAAAAATATTTCATATTTTGTTTAACTATCATTTACTAATAATGATGAATTTTTTTTAACAAAAAATTTAATACTTCATTGTTAGCAGAGTAAAAATTTTATGAGATCTGATTTCTTAGTCAAATAAAATTTATAATAATTAATATACAGGGTGTTTATAAAGTTCCGGACCCATTTTGATGTTTAATAACTCATAAAATAATGAAGATATAAACAAACTTATGGCATTTATTGATGGAATAATTTATATATTTTCCTTTTCAGGTTTGAATATCTTTACTTTTGTAAATATCGTATGCGAGTGTGGTTAATTTCAGATAATTTCATTTTCTAGTCTGAATATCGTCTGCTTATGAATTGCATTTTTCTCTCTTTTGTTTTTGGCATCTTTCTGGCATTGTCAATCGCCATAATGTGCGAATATGGGGATCTGAAAACCCCCATGAATACTGTGAGGCACAAAGGGATTCCCCAAAGGTTAATGTGCGATGTGGACTAATGCACGACCGATTCATTGGGCCTTTCGTTTTTTTTTTACAGAAAAAAATGGTCTCATCAGTCGTATACTTAGACATGTTGGAAAACTTCGTATTTCCACAACTAGAAGGGCTTCAGCCACATGTCGTTTTGCGACAAGATGGTGCACCACCTCATTGGGGCACCATCGTTCGTAGTTCTTTGAATCACCATTTTACAGGAAGATGGATTGGGTGAGGAGGTCCAATTCCTTGGCCCTGGAATTTTTCCTTTGAGGATTAGTAAAGGACAACGTTTACAGGAGGAGAGTGTCGAGGATGGATGACCTATAAGCTAGAATTACAACCGCAATAGCCTCTGTGGATGCCGACATGCTTGCCGGTACCTGGCGTGAAATTGAATATCGACTTGATATTCTCCGTGCGACGAAGGGGGCACACGTGGAAGTCATTGACAAGGATCATGAAACTTTTTGAGTCTATCTAACCATTTATGTTATTAATTTTAATCTACCTTTATTATTTTACTAGCGACCCGCTCCGGCTTCGCACGGGTATAAAATATATAGCCTATGTCACTCACTGAAAAAATGATTAAAATCGATCCAGTAGTTTTGATTTATTCATTACTGCCCGTGGTCCGCACGTGTTAAATTTGGAGTAAAACAATTCCCCTTTCCCTATACCATGAAGATTTCCTGCTATCTTTGGAATATCTAAATTCATACACTACATTTTTACTTATTTACTTTTTACATTTTTACCTATTTATTTTATTTTTACAACAATTAATATATTACAGAATAATAACAGGCGAAGAAACATCGTTAGAATAGAATGAAAGAGACTAAATTATAAATAACTATGAAACCTTTTGCTCAAGCGTGCTAAAGTCTTCTGATGGACAAATTTTTGCAAAGTTTCTCCCCCCAAACGTTACTGCGCTAATCCAACCCATGGACTAAGGAGTCATTGCAACAATAAAGAGAACATATCGAACCAAGCTGCTAATGACCAAAATTGAAGAAGGTTATGATCTGAAAGAGTTTTGGAAACACTACACAATCTTGGACAGCATCTAAGGTATTGCATCTGCACGGGACTCAGTGAAACCGTCAACCCTCATAAAATCATAGAGAAAACCCATGCCTAATGTTGAAGCCAACAACAACCTAACCCCTTTGAGTTGTGAAGAAGTAAATTGTTATTTTCCTCGCTAGAGAGCTCTGATAATAAACGCGTCCGATCGCTGCTAAATTCAAAGTGTTATAGGGAGAACCGCGGCCTCTGACGCGCTATTTATAGGCACGCTCCCGTCGCCCCGGCCGGCCGGTACCGCTGCAAACGCTACGTCCCGCAATTTTTAAATCTGTAGACCTTTTCAATGTGCACAATACTTAGTACATTATTTTGATAAAATCTCGTAGGGTTCAGCCTGCGTTTGCAATGTAAGCGGAAAAAAATGTAATTATTTACGACATCACATTAGAAACCTCAAAATTAACAGTATTTCTCCACTATTTAATGGATGTTATTATACATATAAACCTTCCTCTTCAATCACTCTATCTATTAAAAAAAACCGCATCAAAATCCGTTGCGTAGTTTTAAAGATTTAAGCATACATAGAGATATAGGGACAGAGAAAGCGACTTTATTTTATACTATGTAGTGATGAGTTATTAACCATCAAAATGGGTCCGGGACTTTATAAACACCCTGTATTTTAAATTTATGCCATGAGACAGATCGGATAACTTTGGAAAAAAAGATGGCATCAAGCGTACTTCGTTATTAAGTTGATGAAAAAGCATGAATTTCATATGTCTAGATCCGATGATTTTTTTTTCTTTATTACTTTTCTACATTTTATAGATTTAAAAATAAAGTAAATAAATAAAAGTTTGCAAGTAACACTGTTTTGGTTAAATGCACTATTTGTTGAAAGCTTTCTCAATATTCTTTACTAAATGGTGTGGTGTGCATACACAAAATGTATCAAGAAACTGAAAGAATTTCAAGGCATAAATAGAAATAATAGCAAATAATGACACACATAAATATTACTGCGTTTAACTAAAATTTCTCTTTGATAATTTTTATTTGTAATTTTCCGTTTTTAGCAAGAACAGGATTTTATTTTTATTTACCAAAGACCAATTCGTGCTAAGAATATTATGAAAGCTAAAATGTGTTATTATGTTTTACAAATTTATTTTGAAAGAAATTACCCCCCCCCCTCCGTTTTCCATAACCTAAATATTTGCCGAAAGTTCTTAAGAGATATGAGTAAGTATTGCATCAGATCTTCATTATTAGCTTTTCATATTATATTCTCAAATGGCGAGTTTAAGTGCTCTATTTTAACAATAATTGCCTTATATCTGAAACGTTTTAATATAGGCAAGATAATAAGTAGACAATGTTAAAAGTAAAATATAAAAAATAAATAAAAAATTAAAGATTTTACATGCGTTTGGAATTATTGATTTCTATTATCAGATTCCTACCTAATTATTATACTTTTTGAGATACATTTTTCTGTTAAATAATATTCATCAATTAACCAAAATTTTATGTTCAATTTATTTTTTAGTGGAACATATAGAAACTCATAAGAAAGGTGTATTACCCTCAAAGCAGAAAAGTGAAAGTTTTCAGTAAGTAATAAAAAACTTATCATTAGTTTATTCAATGAAACGGATTTATATATTTGCAAAATCCTGAAATGTGTTTTACCTCGTAGTTTATTTGAGTACACATGCAGCTTAAAAAAGAGTTAAAATAACAAATATTTGTGGTAATAATAGCGCTAACCGTCCTTCTAAAGATTCTATTGTTGAAAGGATTTCATAGTTTAACGAGTCTACTCCGTTCGAGCGTTCAGGTTGTGCCCCGGACGCGCAATGGCAGACCGCACATTGAGTTGAACAATGTTAAGCAAATTTCGCTTAGTGCGCATGCTTGATGGTGTACCTTTGGCGCGGGGAGAAATATTGGCGACTAAGCAACCCTACACTAGCTTATTCGTGATCACCATGGCTGTCGAGTGTGTTCGAGTGATGTTTACAATTGTAATGTTGTGGAACTTTGCTTATTAGTTATTTTAACGTCCATACCGATTGCACTTGCTTATTTTTCTAATATATATTCACTGTAATTTGTCATAACAGTGCATTTAATATTTGCTAACAATGTTCGTATAATTCGTTATTTAAATGTAATTTGTTTACATGTTATAATTCAGTAATTGTAAACTGGAGTATCTCGCTTAGTTTGTTAGCGTATATTCGCGCTTTTATTTTATCATTTCAAAGAATTTAATAACTAGCATTAAGGAATTGTACAACTTCTTCAGTGTTATTTTGCAAAGCACTTGTTATATCCCTCAGTGTTTTTTATTATGTACGAATGGAACGTATGGTAAATCCTGAATTGTTTTTTTGCTTAAAAAAGTATAATGAATAAATTTTCAACTAATATATCCTAAATTTCAGTCTTTTTTCTGAACGAAAATTTGTACAGTTCCAAAGGAATGTGCAGAATTTCATAGGTATTATATTTTACATTTTGAATGCAAACACTGCTTCACATTACTTCGCAATAATTTCAGCTTTCTAGTTGTTTGAGCAGTACAGCAAAAAATAGTATTTTAACACAGTAATTAATTTACATTTACATTATACTCTACGAAGATTTGTTTACAATCAGATGGCGGTACATCTACCATATACCGTATTTATCTTCTTTTCAAATCGCGCCAACATAGTAATTACGCCAAATTGTTTTCTGGGCATGCGCAGTATGCAACATTCGTTTAACACTGTTCAACTCAATGTGCGGTCTGCCATTACGCGCTCTGGACAAAGGCGTTGCTCAAAAGGGGCGTCCGCCATTTTTAAGGAAGTATATGTATAATAATAAATTTTGTACCTTCTGATCTTTGCTCTTGCTTAAAATTTACAGTTATGGAAAAGGTTTTGGTAAGAGCGAGAAACAAATGTTCGCATACAGTTTCAAGGAGTCTGATGATATATTATTTTTGCGAAAACGATACCTTATAGACAGGAGAAGTATAGTCAGTTTTGAACAGTTTCTGTCAAAAAGTTTTACCGTAGTTGTCGTTTATTACTTTTTCGGATCTATAAATTTATACAATATGTCATCCTATAAGTTCTCTGAATTTGAAGAAGAAACAAACGAAAAGCATCTTCTTGACTTCATGCCCTATATATCTTGCATTTATTGCACTAGTCTTCTAATTATAGAGAGCAAAAAAACTACAATAACATGAAATTTTTAGGAACATTCATGCTCATATAAACGTTGAATGTGACAAATGTGACATTTTGGTGTAATTTAACGAATAATCTTGAATAATCAGATTTTAAAGAAAGTATCTCTTTCATTCTTATGAACGAAATGAATGTTATTCTCACATACACTCAAGACATCATTAACAAAGGAAAAGTGTTAAGTGTCCAAAAGGTCATGAGAGCGCACTTTTTTGGACAATCATGAATACTTAATGATACTGTAAATTCCTTAATTTCATATAAACGCTCATGTAAACGTTGAATAATGACAACAAATGTGACATTTTGGTGTAATTTAACGAATAATCAAATTTTAAAGAAAGTATCTCTTTCATTCATATGAACGAAATTAATATTATTCTCACATACACTCAAGACATCATTAACAAAGTGTTTCTGAATGTCCAAAAGGTCATGAGAGCGCACTTTTTTGGACAATCATGAATACTCAATGATACTGTAAATTCCTTAATTTCGTGGAATGTGAAGATGTTTAAAATTTTATGTTTGAAGTTTCAGGAAAAAATAAATAGTATAAAATTACGTGTGATGTTCACGTATATTTTTTTGCGATATTTTCCAAATAGGCGATTTACCTTACTTAACTGTGTAGTTACTTTACAGATCGATACGCTGTTGTATACTAAAGTTGTTGTTTTTACACATTTTTTTCGCATGTTCAAGAAGAAAGCTAGAAAATTTGCTTTCTATTCGATTATCTGGTTTGAGTGTTTCCATGAATTACTCGATATTAATATAATTGAAAGTGAGCCCCTAAATGTTATGGATATTCGTTAGTTATTATAACAACATTATATCAAGAATTTTGCGCATATAGTGAAGGAAACAGGTAAGAGGTAAAATAAAATATTTTTTATTTTAGGTAAAATAAAAATATTTTACCTCTTACCTGTTTTTTACCTATTTTTTACCCGATTTTGTACTGTTATATTTAGTTGCTTAAAACCTACTTGCAAACAATTTGTTGTAAAGCAGAATATTGAAAGAAGAGAGATTATGAATTTAAGAGAGGTAAATTAAACACTGTTGCCGCTTAAGACAACAGTTATTTCATTTGCTTCTTATTTAAACTGTTTGTAATGTAAATGTGAAATTTTTTTGAGAGTAAACTGATAACAAAGATAACCAACTTCAATTGCCATATAAATGTCGTATAAAAACTTAAATAAAACGTCCCAATTTGAAATCACACCGCTGTAATCACAGACTTCAAGACTCGGAATGGCTGGTCACATATATGATACGTGGGCAATGAAGGGAGATTCGCGTGACCACGGTCCTGAATGAGTAAAGACCTTGTAAAGATATTAGTTTTTTCGAAGCACGAAATAAAAAAAAAAAAAAAAAAAGCTATGCTGCCATCGTGATTCGAACTTACAATTGCGAGAGGGAGATGCTGCAACTTATATCGCAAAAGCACGCCTGGAGGAATGCGCTGATTCCTCATATTCTCACCCCTCCTCCACATAAAGCGCGATTGGGTGAAGACACGACCAAACCCAAGTGGTGACAGATTATCGTGCAGTTTAGTTCGAATGTCACTGTAGAAAGATTAAACTTTTTTAGGGCAAAAGAACAGAGAAACTCAGCCATGCTTTCGTCGGTATTCAAACCACGGATCTTCCAACTGGTAAATGGACGTGATAGCGCTTATACCACGAGCAGCTACGGGGAAATACGATTCCCTATAATCTTTATGCTGTGATGATAAAGAACCATTCTTTGAAGTTCCAAAACAGAGAAATTCAGCTATGCTTTCGTCGGTATTTAAACCACGGATCTTCCAACTGGTAAATGGACGTGATAGCGCTTAAACCACGAGCAGCTACGGGGAAATGCGATTGCTATAATCTTTATGCTGTGATGATAAAGAACCATTCTTTGAAGCTCCAAAACAGAGAAATTCAGCTATGCTTTCGTCAGTATTCAAACCACGGATCTTCCAACTGGTAAATGGACGTTATAGCGCTTATACCACGAGCAGCTACCGGGAAATGCGATTCCCTATAATCTTTATGGTGTGCTGATAAAGAACCATTCTTTGAAGCTCCCTTTCTTTATCTTTTCTATCCCAAAGCAGTAGTTTAAGCATACATAGAGATGATAATCCTAAGTTTTGCACATTTTTAAATTAAAGAAGAGTGATAATACTTATATTAAACAAACTTATTAAAGTAACCTTTTAAAAATTAGTTGAAAAGCTTGATGCACCTTTCAAGAACTGATATTTTCTAGCGCTATAATAATAGTCAATTTTTATAAATAACTTCAAGCTGTTAAATATTTAAATATTGTAAGTCTAACAACGTCAAGTCTAACAACTTAACAATCTTTCAGTTCAAAAACGTGCTTTGCATGAAAGAAATATTTTGAAGTAAATCTTTCGAAATAAAAATTTCACCCAAGTTAATTCACCCCATTCACCACTCACAGAAACACCAAAATACAGATATGCAAAATAAGCTTTGTTTGCGTTTCTGTCTTATAATATTACCAGATATTTCTTTCATACTTAAAAAGAGTTAAAAATGCTTATAATGAAAATGGTCAAATAGGTTTAAATATCATTAAAAGTATTACTTTTTGTTTTATTCAAAGCTTGGTTTATAAACCGTATTTTTCTCTAAATGGAAATTACATGTTTTTTTTTCAACTGTATTCTTCTTTTCCTTTCATCTCCATTATGCATTATCATTACGTTTATTATCCATTAAGTTTTATCACGCAAATGAGCTAAAGAGCGATGTACATGATTTAGAATATGTATGCATACAGTATATATTTGATAAGTAACTTGTTTCTTTTACTAAAAATGACAATTCTGAAATCCGAACATAAATATGTAAATGTAAGGACTGAAAATTGTTAAAGTAAAATGCAATTAAATTATGTTTGTAAAATTTATGTAACTCGTGCTATTATTATGCCTTTTTTTTCTTAAAGTAAACTTTTATTCTTCGAAATTCGTTGTTCATTTGTCGTGTATTTGTATACGTTTTGATTCTACGTATGAAAGGAAGACCATCTTTTATATTTCAACATTAATATAATTACCAGAAATTTTTGTTTTATAGTAGGCAAAATTAAGTTTTACAATTTAAATAATCGCCCTAAAATATTATCAATCAAAGATACTTTTAGCGTATGTCATTTTTCATAGAAGACATTTAACACTTTTACATCACTAAAATTGATTTCACTTTTGACCGTTCACTCGTATTCGATATCAGAAATGTACCAAGTGCTTATTCAAAAAAAAAAAAAAAAAAAAAAAAAAAAAAAAGACTTTCGCACGAATTTTTGAAAATGCAATACTTAGAACG